AAAGCAAACATAACCTTTCACTATTTCCAATGAACTATGTGATTGGAGTCCGTCAACGGCCAAAATAGATCTTTCACTATTTTCAATGAACTATGTGATTGGAGTCAGTCAACGACCCAAATAGATCATGACTATGTGCTAATACATCCACCGTCTAAAGCTTCTTAAATACGTAGGAGTGAATATGTTTTGGTTAAAAGTTGCTGTACCCCTATAGACCATTATATAATGTATGGAAGTACACAATATTGAAATGTACAAGAAGCAAAATAATTGTAGCCTGAAAGTTTGTATTAAAAGTTTTTTAAAGCATTAAACCTGAGACATGAGTTATTTACCAGGTTGGTTGCATCTGTTAATAAGTTCGATGGTCTTCATCGTGACTTCGTTGATTGTTTCAGGAAAGTTATAACCAAAATAGCATAAGCTGTATTTAATCCACTTCCCATGAAATGCATTTCCCCCGACTTGACATGAGTAAAACGCTAAGCGCTTAATGAAATGCAGTTACTGCTTACTTTTCGTGATTATACACAAGTCCATCTCATGTTTTCGTTTGATTTCGGTTTGATCATTTTGAATTTGGTTTTAATATTGCCAGTGTCATATAAGGTATATAGCTCATATTCCTGATCTGACAAGATATTGATAAAGGTCCTATACAGTCAAGTTATCGGAATTACAATGGGGACTTGTGCACCACTTATTGCGGACCTGTTTTTGTATTGTTACGAGTTACAACTTATGACTAAAATCAGCAAAGACCCATCGAAACAACATCTGATACACAAATTTAATAACCCTTTTAGATATTTGGATGATATATTGGCTCTCAATAATGACGACTTCAGTATGTACACAAAAGAGATTTATCCTGCTGAACTGACTTTAAATAAAGGTAATACTTACAATGAACACTGCCCTTTCCTGGATCTTGATATCTATATCTTTAACAGGAAGTTTAATACCAAAATTTACGATAAAAAAGGGATGAATTTTCATATCATATTGTTAATTATCCATTTTTAGATGGTGACGTTCCCTTGTCACCATCTTATGGTGTTTTTATATCTCAACGTGTTCGTTTCGCTCGTGTATGTAACAACGTAATTGATTTTAACGAAAGAAATCTCTGTATCACTGAAAAATTATTACAACAGGGTTTTCGATATCACAAACTTGTCAAAACATTTACTAAAATTTTATCATCGGTACAAGGACATCATTCGTAAAAATAAATCAACGTGCAGCCATCTTATACGTTCAGGTATTTTACATCCAATCTTTTGTGGTAATATTCTATACAAAGCACAAAAATGTCATCATTCACCTCAAAAGCTAACCAAACCGTTAAACAGACTTATTCAGAAGGGATATAGTTAAGATACTGTTAGATCATTAAAGATGGCATTTTTGGAATTAATATTGATTCACTCATAGCGTCTTTGCATCGGAAATAAACACATTTATTCTAAAACCAGGTGTTTGGCTTGATACGGGTTATGCTCTTCTTGTATATTTTATGATGGTATGATACTAAACCCCTAACTGGAGTACAGGAAGGATTGTGCTTGATTTTCATATGATAAAGACATATCTTTCAATCAGTTTAATTGAGGTCTGGAGCTGACATGTCAGTAGCTCCTAGTAGTCTTTTGTGAATTTATGTATCATTGTCATTTTGCTTAGTTTCTTCTGTTACCTATTCTGACATCGGACTTCTTTTAAACTGAGTTTTACTGTGCGTATTGCTGTGCGTTTGTTTATTCTACATTGGCTAAAGGTATAGGGGGAGGGTTGAGATCTCACAAAACATGTTTAACCCCGCCGCATTTTTGCTCCTGTCTCAAGTCAGGAGCCTCTGGTCTTTGTTAGTCTTGTACGTTTTTTTAAATTTTGGTTCATTCATATGTTTCGGAGTTCTCTGAACTAGTACACATGTTTGTTTAGGGGCCAGCGGATTTTCTCGCTGTGTTGAAGATCCATTGGTGGCCTTGGACTGTTTTCTGTTCTTTGGTCTGGTTGTTGTCTCTTTGACACATTCCCCATTTCCATTCTCAATTTTAAATCGTCTTTATTATAGCAGATACATAATGTATGTCTTTGATTATAGGAATTCATTAATTAACAATGTATGAACTAATAGTAAAACCATAGGTAAGGTGAGATTTTGAACTGTGTTTTAAAGTATACCTATAATATCATAAGCTATGTGTTATTTATATACTACTGTTTTTTTCGATCAAATAGGCATCTAAAACCAATGGAAACCAGACGTTCTTTCCTTCTATGCACATCATCAAGATGCTTGTTTTTCATTGACAGCATATTTATTGCGTATGGAGGGTGTGATTTTCAGGAATATGAGTTGTTTTCCATTTTTAAAAGGGGGGTTCCACAACCCAGGATAAAGGGGGTTCCAACTATATGTCCCCATTCAAATGCATTGATCGTCAAAAAAAGGGTGGGGGGTTACCGGAGTTCGATAATTTTGTTATTTTTACTTTTTTCTACATACATTGGGCATTCCCATGGGAACCAACTGTGATGATCTTCGTGCCAACTTATTCCTTTTCACTTATAAGAAAGACTTCATATATGAGCTCAGCAAAAATGAAAAGAAGCTGGCAGAAATTATTAACTTCATGTTCCACTATTTAGACATCCTTTCATTGAATAATCAAAATTATATATGATGACTGTGTTGATGGCATTCATCTCATGAACTTGGTATACATGTTACCACAGATACAGTCTATTTCATATCTTAAAATAAAATAAAATTTACTTAACTTACATCTAGATATTGACAATTAGAGTCGGTTGAGAACTAAACTTTACAACAAAAGAGATAATTTCAAATTTTCCCATTCTGATTTTTTTATTTCTGTGCAGGAACATTCTGGCAGTGAATGCAAATGAATTATATACATGTTGATATTATATTCAAGGGCTTCCTATTATGATTTCCTTGATAAAGGGTTGCTGCTTCCAAGGAAGCTATTAAACCAATGGTTCCAAATGGCAAATTTAAAATCAACCCTTTAAAAGTTCTACAGACCAAGCAAGATTTGGTTGACCGTTATGGAATAGTTTGTGTCACAGATGACCACGAATATGTTCCACTTGTTGTAGTGGGTCTCATTGGGGTCTAACCGTGACGCGGGATTGGCCGATTTTTTTTAAGCGTGACACGTGAAAGTCAAATTATTTTGCGTGAAAACGGAAAACTAAGTCGGGCGGGCCACAGGAAATTACAAGCACTATTATTGCAACGATAAGTGGACTCTGGCCATTGTAGCCACAATCCCTTGGTATCTTCTACCTATTTTTCTTTTATATTTGTCTTCAAGGTTGGCCCGTTAAAATGTTCGAGTTTCTTCTTAGAATATGCTCAAACATTTTAACTAATCTTTAACAATAGACACTACAAAGTCTACATGTATCGTTATTTTGAGTTAATGGTGTCTATCTGAATTCCAAGATGGCTATCAAAGTGGAACACAGTAAAACATAGGACCCTTTGAGTACGATATACAAACAGTTTTTTTCTTAGTAAATATCGTGTACATATAAATCAAATCATGCACAAATGTAACAAGGATGGTGAACACCATCTTAAATATACATTGTTAAATATGAAAAAGAATATTCATATGAATTTATCCTTAAAACTTAATTTTACTAATTCATATCAATTATCAAAAGACATTGTTACACAAATGATATAAACTGTGTTTTTGGTATTCATGACATGAATGAATCGTAACTGCAGCATGTATGTTTCGTTTATCCCTCTATTCTAAAAGCATCACCATGAGAAATTGTGTTAAGAACTGACATAAAATACACTGTACCTGCACATATTAATGTGACCATTTGCCTACCCCTGTTTCCAAGCCTAACAGTGACAAGTCTTACTACCAGAGAGTTAACTTCCCCAAATCATCAATAAATACAATAAAATAAAAACATACACACACTCACCTGCAACGTAATTGTTAAAAGTACATTTCTGGAAATGTGTATGAATAGTGAGGTGTAACAGGGATATACACTGGCACCATTAGGATCATGGGTTCATAGTTTGTCAAAACTGAGAACCTCATTAGGCATTTGTTGAATGGAAAAAAAGTCAGTCAACAAGATTAGTTAAATTGTTTTTTGGCTTTGAACTAGCTACATGTATATGTAACTGAAAGTAATCTCAGATCTGTACTTTGTATCTTTTGTGTTTTTGTTAGGATTTTTTTTTGTGCCTCGTATCAATCTGATCCATTGGATGTTGGATTGATACTTTAGTCCTAGACACATGATTTTTTATTAGCTGTTATAGGCTTTGAACTAGCTTCAAGTAACTGTGAGTACTCTCAGATCTGTACTTTGTGTTTTTGTTAGGGTTTTTCTCTTCTTTGTATCGATCTAATGAGTTAAGCCCTTTTCAACTGATTTTAATTGTTTGTTCTTATGTTGTACTGTGACACCACTATCCCAGGTAAGAGGGACGATGGCACCATCAAAAATGTTTAACACCACCACATTCTGTATGTGACTGTCCAAAGTCGGGAGCCTGTAATTCAGTGGTTGTTGTTTATGGCTGTATATCAGTTTTGTTTTTCGTTTAGTGTTTTGTACATAAATCAGGTTGTTGGTTTTCTTGTTTGAATCGTTTTATATTTTTCATTTCGGGGCCTTTTATAGATTACTATGCGGTATGGGTTTTTTTCTCATTGTTGAGGCCCTATGGTGACCTATACTAGTTGTTAGCCTCTATGTCTGTTGGTCTTTGGTGGAAAGTTGTCTCATCGGCAAGCATACCACATCTTCTTATTTTATAAAAATAGCAAATGTTGATAGCCATTGGACTATCACTGTCATAAATAAGAATTATTATGATATATATCATACATTGTACATGTATATTTTACATAAACATGATAAACATCAGCTTCCTTGCCCTGCAGTTTAAACTTTATGTTCTATATGTCAGTCAACTTACAAGCTATTGGATATTTTACTAGAAAAATCAAATATAAATATATATTCAACATTGTGGTTGGTCTTTTTTGGTAGAGAAAGAGTTATGAACTTAAATTCCCACTGAAGTCCATGGAAAACTTGCATTCTGGATATGGTTGTTAAAAAAATCTTTGCAATTTCAGAATAAAATGCTCCGCTGGGCGCAGCTTGATACGACCGCAGAGGTCGAACCCTGAACAGTTGGGGCAAGTATGGACACAACATTCAAGCTTGATTCAGCTCTGAATTTGGATTGTGATTAAATATTTGACACAGCATAGGTTTCTGACACAGAATGAATGTGGTCTAAGAACTTAAAATTTTTTTATTTTACCTATTATGGTCTAATATCCAAAATCTCAAATACATACACAGTTAGATTCAGCATATCAAAGAACCCCAAGAATTCAATTTTTGTTAAAATCAAACCAAGTTTAATTTTGGACCCTTTGGACCTTAATGTAGACCAATTTGAAAACGGGACCAAAAATTTAGAAGCTAAATACACTGTTAGATTCAGCATATCAAAGAACCCCAATATTTCAATTTTTGATGAAATCAAACCATATCATTATTATTTGCTTTTATATATAAATCAAAAATAACCAACTTAAAATGGAAAATTTTAAAGAAAAAAAAAAAAGGAAAAAAAATCCCCCCCCCCCAATTTTTTGAACCCCCTTATGATTCATCACCCCAAACTCAATCCCAGCCTTCCCTTTGTGGTATGGTACCTTGCAGTACATTTTCAGAGAGATCCATACACTTGAACACAAGTTATTGTCTGGAAACTGTAAAAATGCTTGTTTTTTGGACACTTTTTGGCCCCAAATTCCTAAATGTTTAGGGCAATAACCCCCAAACTCAAACCCAGCTTTCCCTTTGTGATATGGAACCTTGTAGTACAATTTCATAAAGATCCATGCACTTGAACACAAGTTGTTGTCTGGAAACTAGAAAAATGCTTATTTGTGGCCCCTTTTTGGCCCCTTATTCCTAAACTTTTTGGGCAATTACCCCCAAACTCAATTCCAGCTTTCCCTTTGTGATATGAAACCTTGTAGTACAATTTCAGAAAGATCCATACACTTACACACAAGTTATTGTCATGAAACTAGAAAAATGCTTCTTTTTTGCCCCTAATTCCTAAAATGTTCAGGTAATTACCCCCAAAATCAGTCCCATCATTCATTTTGTGATATGGAATTAATCGAACCTTGTGATACAATGTCAGAGAGATCCATACACTAACACACAAGTTATTGTCTGGAAGTTACAAAAATGTTTATTTTTTGCCCCTTTTTGGCCCCTAATTCCTTAACTATTGGTACCATAACCCCCAAAATCAATCCCAACCTTTCTTTTGTGGTATTGGTAAAATTTCATAGAGATCCATTCACTTAAACTAAAGTTATTGTGTCTTCGGACGACGACGACAACGTCATACCAATATAGGACTGTATAAAAACAAGTCTTATTCTTATTCATAGTGGCCAAAATATTAATAAACAGCTGTGCCATGAGCACATGATACGCCCGTCACTTTTTCAATAGATATAAGCCAGTCACCAAAGTTTCATGAAAACTGCTCAAATGATTTTTGAGTAATTGTCCTAAAACTGGAAAATCCCCCTTTTTTAATGAATAAAACACCACAACTCAGAAACGTAAAATCTAAAATTTATAAAAATCGAAAGGGAGCTCACATCAATAGACATACACAATTCAACAAAGTTTCATGAAAACTGTTCAAAGCATTTTTGAGTAATTGTCCGAAAACTGGAAAATCACGCTTTTTTAATGAATAATACCCCAACAACTCGGAAACGTAAAATCTAAAATTTATATAAATCAAAAGGGAGCTCACATCAATAGACATAAACAATTCAACAAAGTTTCATGAAAACTGTTCAAAGCATTTTGAAGTTATTGTCCGAAAACTGGAAAATCCCCCTTTTTTAATGAACAAAACCCCACAACTCGGAAACGTAAAATCTAAAATTTATAAAAATCAAAAGGGAGCTCACATCAATAGATATAAACAATTCACAAAAGTCTCATGAAAACTGTTCAAAGCATTTTGGAGTTATTGTCCAAAACTGGAAAATCCCCCTTTTTTAATGAATAAAACCTATATTATAACTCGGAAATATAAAATCCAAAATTTATAAAAATCGAAAGAGACCTCACGTCAATAGATATAAACAATTCAACAAAGTTTCATGCAAATTGGTGAAAGAGTTTTTGAGTTATTGTCTGACATGTTGACGACGGACAGATGGACAGACAGATGGACGGACAGACAACGGTAAACCATAATACGTCCCGTAAACGGGCCTATAAAAAGGTCAGCTTGGGTATATATCAATTGGATAAGATTTTGATATTTAACATTGTATAAAAAATAATTCTATCAAATTTGATCCAAATTGGCAAGTGTGTATACAGAAAAGAAAACTTAATTTGAAACTTTATAAAGGTAAATGCCTTTTACAAAATTTAATTAAAAAAAGCTCATATGGCCTAAATCATAAAAAGATCTTTAAATAGTTGTATATTGGGTACATGTAATTCATCACAATGACAAAGAGGCTTTGCACGACTACATTTTTTGTACATGTACATACATGTACTCATACATTTGATGTCTGACTATGAACATTTTATTCTTTAGTTAGATGTCTGACAAGCTCTGATCATCACAAGCTGAAGCAAAATGAAAACTGGTGCCATTGATTCTGAAGTAGATATAATCCTTGTCCGACTCAGCTTCTGACACAATAAAATTTTAAATACGAACAATAATGTCAAATACAACATAGAAGACAAAAATCTTATAACTGCCGCACGCAGTTCTGTTTCTTTAACCATGCGTATAAACACGATGATACAGAAATAACAGTTAAGTCCGTCTGCTATGTATAAAGGTGTGAACACTGACCACCAGGACAAAGATATCACATTCTCATACTTCAACACGGCCATCACAGAAAACACCAGCAAGGTCACAAGATGGGTCCATATTTCAAACGCAGTCATTCCAAGCCACTGAACAATCTCATTCAATGTAAACAGCATTTTGTGGTGATTTAAATTTCCTCACTCTTTTACGGTAAGGTGATTATAACATTTTGATAATATTAAAATATCTTCTCTTCATGGAACATACCATGGCATTTACCATTTCATGTTTCTTAACTTTCTTTACCAAAATCTGTTATATATCACCACTTTCCTGTAAAAGAGACAAAAGTATTTATATATGTTTTCCATGACAAAACTAGATTTATTTTCATTTATTACATTTCTCCTATTTGTATAAAATAAGATGTGGTGTGATTGCCAATAAAACAACTTTCCACCAGACACCAAACAAGGTAGAAGTTAGAAACTATATCCTATATACATACATGTAATAGGTCATCAGTAAAGGTATATATAGTAAATCAACAACACAACATATAGTAATTATTAGTTTTAACTAGATAGAATTATCAATTGACCCAGTCAAATTATTTGGCAGAAAAAGGGGGAGGAAAGACCAAAGAGCAACCAAAAATGTACATAAATAAACAAATGTACATAAATAAACAGACAACACTGGTACCACTGATGATGATGGCCAAAAGAAAAAACAAAAGGCCACATAACACTGATATTGTTAAGAAAGGGGAGTGATTCCCAAGTTCTGATGAGTTTAACTGGACATTAATCCCAGTAAAGATAGAGCATTTAACTAATAAATTTCAACATTTTTACCCTTTAACAAATACATGTAGTCTCCCAGTATTTTGTAAACAAAGCTTGTGAAAATGACTGTCCCTTTCCCAAATTTTGACATGTTCATTCACACTTTCATACAACTCTTTTTCACTTAGCTCACTTTGATTTATTTTAATTACGTACAGCACAATAAAACATGCATAAAACATTGGTATGAAAGAGAGGTCTAGCTTGATGAATAAAGAGAGACAACTCTATATAATAATTGGAACTTTTACCAAGCAGAGGATATTTACATATATCATGTATATCAAATTTGCTGTTTTTTTCTTTCAGCAAAATTAAATTTTAAAATATAAAAATTCACACATTTGAGAAATAACATTTTGTCTTTATTTATCAATACCCATAAAAACAGGTTTGTAGTACTGAGAAACTTGATATTGGGAAATGGGTTATTAATCTGTGATAATAAAGTTCTTCTTTTGGTTATATTTGGACAATGGAGTAAAAAATGTATCTTGTCCTCTACATGTACTTGGTTTAAATTACAAAACTGACAAAGTTGTTTACATCTGGGTAATGGTTCTAGTTTTCCTAAAGAATAATATTTTATTTCACGTCTTTCAGTTTCTACGAAGACAGTGATTTCTTATACTGTAAATTCAGAAATTATTGCGAGGTTTTTATTAATGCGAAAAGTGCGACTGGGTAAAACGTTAGTATATATAGCAATGATAAGAACTCGCATTCTGATATCTGTATGCAGAATTTCTTAAAATCGCAATAATTAATCTCGCATTATTCTTCATAAATTGCAATAATAAATGCACGCAATAATTTCTGAATTAACAGTACTAAATTTTTAAAGCATTGACCGATTATCTTTGTTTTTTATATAAAGGTATAGTTCAACCTGCCAAATAGAAGATTTAACCCCTTTACCATGCTAGGGACCTTTTTAGAATATAGCAAAAATGTTTTCAAAACAAATTAAAAGATAGTTTCTAACTAAATTACTACTTGAAAACAAACTATAACATATATTCTAGGATTCTTGAAATTCAAACAAATAAAGATATAACATCATATTTTAATGCAAACTTTATGTAAGAACTTTTTTCATTGGTAAAAATTTACCATCAAATCCACAATTGACATGCCTTGGACCACCATTTTGAATTACTGGAATCCATAAATGTTCAATATAATCGAAAATTAAAATTCTAATATGACGACTGATATATTGTCAACCAGTATAATCACAGTATATCTACTTTTAACACAAACCCATTAATACACAAAATTGGCTGTTCCGCTTAACGCCCACCTTATTTATACAACCAAGTGAACTCAATTTGAGACAGTCAAACCCACATTTTAAGTGGACCAAGCTTCAAATACAACACAGTTATCTCTATTCTAATGCAAAATAAACCAATCAGTCCATTTGACATTTCAGTTATGATTTCAGTGTAAAATTTCATGAAACGAAAATCCCGGGAAAACAACTTTGGCAACTAAACAAGGTGACGTCATATAACACTTCAGAATGTAATGAAATTAGATAAAAGATCATTTTTAGGTGAAATTTTTTAAAATTTAAGATTGAATAATAAACTTATATTATTGTATGGAGGGGGGAAAATGGAATGGTGTGTATAGGGCTTTCAAGGTTGACAAAATAACCGTATTTGTCCTATTAACATCCAAATAATTCATGGCAGCCGTAGACTTGTTTTCATTTAACCATGGGCTGAGCATTTATATTTGTATTTTACCCCTCTCTTTCCCTCGGGATAAATTATTCGAATATAAATGCCCAACCCATGGTTTAATGAACACAAGTTTACAGATGTCATGAATCATTTCTTAAATAACCTTCCTCAAAAAAGCCATTTCAATGAAATTTTATTCAAATCTGAATCATACAAATAATCGTCGGTTTGAGCGTTTTCATTTGTATGACGTCATGTTTTGCCATGACACTAATATGCCGAAATCATTCATGGTTGTTTCGCGGAATTTAATTTTATGTTACATGTAATATATTTATACATTTTTACAAAGTCTAATGTACTTTTTCTTTTTTGTGATGCATTAGAATAGGAATAACAGTACTGTAGTTGAAGAGTTGCAGTTGTCAATCATGATTTGACAGTCGCAAATATCCATTTTAATGACTCTGCAGCAGTCTGATCCATTTCGCCTGGAAAACTGCCTTTGCGACTGTAAAATCACCAATTGACAGTGGCAACTCTTCAATTACAGTACTAGATACAACGTCAGAAAATGCAGTTTAAAGAGGATTTCTGAAATCTGCACAGTGTAAAAGTGAAATTCTGTGTACATGGTGTAATACACAACGTTTGTTCTGAAAAATGTTGTGGTCAAAGGGTTAAATAACAAAGTAATAATAGACATATTTAAACTTTTGGGTATTAAACTGAATTTGCTTCAAATAACCCTAGATCTGTCTCCAAATAACGTTCTGGCGTCATGCAACAATCACTTTTAATTATGATGTCAGACGATTTAAATTGTGACGCAAAATTTTACGAAATCTTCTTTGACTTTAAGTGATGTCAGACAAATTTGAATACAAATGTAAATTACATGTATATTTATAATTATATTTCTATTTACTGTGATAACACCCTGATAATTATAACCCCCGTTGGTCTTGTGGTAGCGTGTTCCCCTCCTCGAATGCGGGAGGTCATTGGTTCAAACCCCAGCCGGGTCTAACCAGACTTTCAGATTGGTATTTGATGAGACTCCCTAGCACACAGCATTAAGGAGTAAGAGCAAACACTTGTCAGCTGGGAGTCAGAATAATGCGTCCAGGTAGGGTGACATGTCTTAATGCGAACTGCTACTTTGTGAACTAAAACAATAAAAAATCAGGCTCATCTTGTTGGTCAATACAATTTCGTCTATATATTCATATAACATTTACATGTTTTAGTCCAGGATATGCATTTAAATTTGATGATGGACGTTAACCCTCTTTCTGCCAGACATGTGTCCACACTGGCTGTGCGGGAGGGACACATATGTCCATATGTTTAAATATGCTACATGTACATTCTTATCATTGCTGTTTCTCTTTCAAATAAAATACCAAAGATTAAACCATGTAATATTTTGAATGCTAGTCGTTTCGTAACCTGGTCGTTTCGTACCTGGTCGATTTGCAACAACGTTGATTTGTAACTGAGACGTTTCGTACCTGGTGTAATTATATATGGTTATAAAGTGTTAGTTTAAATTAATTAGTTTAAATTAAACAGTTAAAGAAAATATATATTCATATATAAATTAGTTAACTAGTTTTGTCTGTAGAAGTGTATATTTCTGAGAATTGTCTATATGACTGCTATTGACAGGTAATAAAAAGTAATTACAGTAGGTGTAAAGTGATAAAGTGGAGTATTAAAAATGGTCACAGTTTCATCATTCTGTAGTGATAGGCTCCAACATCGTCAGACTAAAAACAAGAAGCATGAAAGAAACAACTTATGATGGAAAAAAGAAGATTTATAGAGAACTTAGCAACATAAAGATGAGTGGCAGAAGACTAAATACTTTGATAAAGACGCGGTACATCTAAATAATGATGGAAAATTTAAATTCTTCTGTTCTATTCGTATGTGTGTAAAACTGTACTTGTAAAGTGTAAAATTATTTACTAAATAAATATAGATATATATACATCAATTAGTCTTTTTACTATTTTTTAATCGAAACATTTTTCCGTGACCTACAACTCATATTATTATATATTTTTATAAGGTTACGAAACGACCTATTGTTAGTTACGAATCGACTAGGTACGAAACGACCAGGTTACGAAACGACCTGCACCCAATATTTTGCTTCAATGGGTCCCCGATGTAATGTCATTAGGGCATGACATCATATTTCGAATAACATCATTGATGGGCATGTGACATCACAGATGTCCAGCTGTTGTATTTTCTGGCACACACAAATTATGCACCCATATAAAAAAGCAGCAGCAAGAGGGTTTAACAGCCATTCATCAACATCATTATTTACTTTGAATATCAATAGCAGAGACATATAACTTACAATTGTATTATATGTCTCTGTCAATAGGTATCATTTTTCCAGATTTTCAAAAAATCATCTCTCGTTTGTTTTTCGTTTTGACTTTAAATTTGGTTTAACCAAGGATTTGTATAGTGAAATCTCACTTTACAAATCCTTGGTTTAACTGAGTTTTTTGCATATTGAGAGGTTTAGTTTTTGACTAAAAAATATATCTTTGAGGTCTCGATGTAGCATTTCATTACTATACCTTTGTCATCAATTTGTTGAATTGTTATATGTTTGATATTTTTTAAGTTTGGTATCCTGGAAATGTTCTGGTTTTGCAATAAAATTTTATAAACAAACTATCTGGACATTTCCTGATCGTCGTAAGTATGCAGCAAACTGTAAAAAGAGAAAAATTCGTTTCTTCAAACGCTTTGCTGAGAGCGAATCTTTTTCTGATTCCCTGTCAGTGAGTAAACGACGTCAGTATGTTGTGGAAGGTAAACATTATACAACCAGTAAGTCAAAAGCTAGAAAATGTGAAATGGGTAACACGAATCACCAAATAACACCGTTATTAGCCAAATAACACTTGTAATCACCGAATAACACTTGAAATTTTAATATTAGCACATATTGGTGACATTTAAACATTGATAATTAAATAATATTGTATTATAAGTGTATTTTATAACTTAAAAATGATTTATAGAAAGCAGGTAAGTTCATAAAGATCGCATTAAATATTAGTGTGTACATCCAACATGGCGACCAAGGAAAACAAATGGGAAGAATAAAAGAATGATTGCATACAATCCCTCAACGTGTTCATTTTAGACCACTAAAGTGGAGCCCTCACGCCATGTCAAGGTAATGAACAATGTGAGGGTGGGCGCCTCCCCTTTTAAAGAAAATATGGAATATTTAACTGTTTACAATAATATTTTTTTTTTTTATAGTTATTAAAAAAATAATATTATAATCAAAAATTTCTACTTTTAAATAAAATATCTGTGTATTATTTATTTTTTTTAAATTTAAAAATGGAGAGTAACCAAGCCCTTTTAAAACTACTAAGATATCCTGCACAAGGCACGGGCTTATCTACTATAGTCCGCGAAATCAATTTATTTAGAACTTATTGTTAAAAAATATTTTTTTCCAGTTGTACGTCATGTTCGCCTTTCACATAAGTAATCATTTTAATATTTAAGAGCACAATAAGTAAAATTATTTAGGTGAGAATAGGTGGAAACCCCATACCTGGGAGAACCCATCTAATGCTCATGGGAAGGTCTCTACCCTTATGGAAAAATAAGGCTTCTTGCAAATATTTGCGGCAATGTTGCTGCAAATATTTGCGGCAATATTGCTGCAAATATTCATTTTTCGTATGCAAATTAGTTTTCTTGCAAACAGTTGCTGCAACATTGCCGCAACAAATTGCTGCAATATTGCGGCAAATGTTTGCGGGAAAATCAGTAGCTGTGATTGTTGCAGCAATATTGCGGCAAATTCATTAGCTGCAATGTTGCAGCAATATTGCAGGAAAATTAATTTCTTGCAATATTGCAGCAACATTGCAGCAAATCTTTAAACAATTTCAGTTGAAAAAATTAGGAATTGAAAACAAAGCATTTAAAAAAATATGATTTAATAATAAAACAAAAAATTTTCTCTGTCATCTATAGGTTGTCGTGTTACATCTGTGTATCTTTTAGTTTCGTTTGTCATTGTACTAGCTGTCCTTAAAATTGAATTTACTGATTTCAAATACTGCAAAATAAAAGTTGAAGAATTTAGCATATATACATGATATATAAAGAATAACTAAACATTATAAAGATATAAAGTTACTACTATATATTGTAAATTCTGGACTTAAAAATGAAAATAATACTTTATAAAGAGATCTATAGAGCAAATTTCTGTATTTGTTTTACTTGAGGGGTCAATGTCTAAAAGAAATTGTCAAGTACGTCCTTCTAGAAATTGCATGTTTTTCAAATTTCTGGATCTGCAACTGATATATATAATTGTAGAATACATTTAACCTCATGCCAGTACTAGGTTGTTATTGTTTTTTTAATATTTGTTTTTCATTGAACTATAACATAATTGGTCTTGTTTATTTTTTTAAATTTAAATTTTGGTGTTTAGTCATGTTTAAGTTGTGTATATAAAAGCTATATTTTGTTGTCATTTGTTGATAGATGTCTTATTGGCAGTCAAACCACAGATCACTAATTTAATACCAAACTGCTTTTATTAGAAGATTTTTTGTTTTAATTTAAGTAATACTTTCTAAAACAATTTTTTTTTATTGTTTTAAAAAGATTAAAAAAATATCTCAAGTCTTACACAATTTTAATAATATTTATGTGCATAAATCTATAGTCTAATATTTTTCTCGGCTCTAATGTTAAGAAGACACTTTAAATATCACTATTCTGAATTATAAGAGAGCATGCACTTATTCAAAATGGTGGACATTCTAATCTATTGTACTTACCAAAAGATGTTATCCAAAATATGTGTAAACACCAATCTTCCTAAATCCAAGAGTCATGTCATCTGAAGGCTACATCTGCACTCTCCAGTGCCAATAGAATTTATTGGAACTTTTGGATCTAAATCCATTGTAAAATTCATATTTTGTTCATGATAGACGACATCTTTGTTTGTTGTATGAATGTTCAAATTGTCCAGTTCAAATTTTGAATTTGTTGATCGAGGTTGTTTAGGGTATTGTGACAGTGTGATCCCTTTGAAATTTGCCCCTAATAATACATTTCAATTGCTTAAATCTTGAATATTTGATATATATTATAATAAAAAAAATAATTATCTATTTTTTATTTTTTCATCTTTGATGTTATAAGTTATAATGGAAATATATATAAGAAAAATGTTCTACCCTTAATTTGGCCTCAAACTCTGTGTACATTAATTTATAATACTTCCTGTCTTTGCCACTACACAGAGATAAATAGAAGACAGATGGCACATTACATTTCTATCACCAGCTCATATTACTAATTGAGATGAGAAAGAGGGCATGCAAATAATGTGTGTATACATAATTTTAAAATAATGATACTAGAAATTAAACAAAATGCAACCTGCAGGTGAGGCTAAATTCATTTGATTGAAAATATAAAAATTAAAATATTGTTCACAGAAAAATGTCACAAAAAAGTGACAAAAATTAAAGGCATATAATATATAGAACAAAAATTATTATGTCTCAATTATTTAGGTTAAACTTGTTGAAATAAATACCAAAGTATTCTTGAAATTCTTTCTTGTTACAAGATATCATATAAATGTGATGTACAGTTTAGGAATTGTTTATAAGCATTGTTATTTGAAGATTTTTTTTAAAATGAATTATTCAAATATCCTGATATTTCTGAGTAAAGTGAAGTATGACGATAATAAATGTAGATAATTACAAGTATCCAAATATTCAAAGAAACATGTGGCGTAATGAACCTTAAATCTTAAAAAATAATCATATGTAATATTTTTATATGTTTGAAATATTGGTGCAAACTATCATGTCTGACATTTTTAAAGAAATGTTTCTTGCAAAATTGTTGCAAATAGTTATTCCTTAAACAATAAAAGAAAAGGTTCCTGCAACATTCTAGCAAACAAACTCTTTCTTGCAACATTGCAGCAAACTTGCTGCAATTTTCTTGCAAACAAATTTTGTTGCAGTAACATTGCGAGAATGTTGCAGGTAGCTGCAACAACCTGCAACTTTCTTGCAAACACTTCTTGCAAACAAATTTGTTTGCCGCAATATTGCAGCTATATTGTTGCAATATTGCAGCAAACTTTTCATTTCTGTAAGGGTAGTCAAATGCATGGTTATCCTGGTGCCACTTTCAAGAGATTGACTGAAGCAATTGAGGCTGGCTTGTTTGTGCATTATAATCCACAAGTGGTTATTTGCCAAATAGGTAGCAATGATTGTGACAGATATTCTTTTGATGAGGCTGCCTTCAAAACAGACATGAATACTTTCATTTATGCTTGTCTTTCGAGAGGAGTATCAGTAGTATTCATGTCTGTTATGAAGCGGTCTGGGCCTTGGTATTGCACTCCCGGTGAGCATACAGTTCGCCGAGAGATAGTGAACAAAATGATGAAAAGCATTGCTCTTGAAAATCATTTTTTACATTATTTCAAGCCAACTAATGTTTATCGGACAGAATACGAAGCTCGCGACGGGATACATTTCACTGAAGAAGGCTACCGTGCCTTCTTAGTAGCTTTGAGGAAGTCGGTCAGTTGGTTTATTAACAAAGTTAGCAAATGAACGGAAATATTTTCTCAATGACTCCACGTGAAATGTATTTTGTTCATTATTGCACAAAAACTGAATGACCAATTTATCCAACATTGGTTTTCCCAAATGAATAACTCTTCAAGAGGTGCATTTTATTCACATTACAAACAGGAATTTCGTTTGGAAACCTATTTAATAAAGTTTAAGCTGTGTGACAGGATTTATATAGCAAAATTCAGATGCTCAAATTTAAAATTTCCTGTAGAAACGGGAAGATGGTCTAGAATACCAAAAAATGAGCGAATTTATCATCTCTGTGGAAACGGGATAGGAGTTTTATTATTATGTTGATTTAAAATCCGAAAACACGTTAGTCCATTTGTTATCTGAGGTCTTGGCAATAATATGGAAGTTGTTTTCAATCGATATGAAGAAAAGGAGACAGCAAACAATAACAAAAATATTATATTTATACCAAAATTATATGGGGTACATCTAGGAGGGTCGTAATGGGGGTACCTTCATGACGAATAACGGTAAAAATTCTTGCCTTATGATGTTAACGGTAATTTTTGCTGCATGACGATAAAATGTACACTTTCTTTTAAACGTTAAAAAAATCGTAGATTTTGACGAATCACGTTAATTTTTTTCAAAAAATAACGGTAACGATAATTATTTGAGACCTCTGACGAATCACGACAAGGATATTTTGACGAATCACGGTAAAATTTTAACCAATATGACGCTAACAGTAGCCGAAAATGGCAGTTTGACGCCTGACGGTAAAGGGCATTACTACCCTCATCTAGACCAGATCTAGAGTGGCTAGTTGGCAACTAGACCAAATAATTATGACATATATGAAAGCTTTTTAACTTTTTGCTTTGACGTTGTCCTGTAAACAATGAGGGATCTCTAAAAAATCAATAATGGGTCAATACGCCCATGCAGATTCCTGTTACCATTGGGTCATAATTGATCATAATACACCTTATCGCTATTTGTCCGCCATTACTGTGGCCTAAACATTTAGGTTTAGTTTATGGTTATAATGTTTTTTTAGTCATCAATATAAACTTTGTCAAAGTTCAAACCTACATGGATTTTTTAAAGGTGGATCATCCGCTATTTATCGCTATATATTTCCTCAGATAGAATTTTCTTATACTTTGCCAAAATGGAGATTTTGCCATGTTTTTTGAAAAAATATAATCAAAAGTATGGGTCAGCGTGCTATTTTTCAAGCTACAAGTCGTCCAAAATTGCCCAATTATGCATAGATTATTCATGATAAAACACTTTTTTGTGAATGAAAAGAAATCTATGAGATAGAATATTGAAATAAAGATGAGAAAATAGGTTTTATGATATGCTTTTAAGAAAGTAAAAAGAAAAAATGGTGTCACCTAACTTGTTTTTTTTGCTACAAGTAAAAAAATGAAAATTTCACTATCATTCCAGTATAAAATTTTTACTATAAGAGTTAGCTCCCCCAAGAACGTATTATGGCCAAGTTGAAAAATTGAATCCAACAAAAAGAAATAAGTATTTGTTAAAACAGTCTTGATAAGGCAATAAATCACTTTTTTTTTTTTATTTAAACGAAGAGTCTTACATGTACATGTACATATTTAATTGCTAATCTGTCTAAATATTTGCAGATTTAATTTAAGCAAATTAAAGAACTAGACCAATTGTGTACTGCTATTTTATAATCCAAGATGGCGATATACAGTAAATCTACCTTAAATAAATCAGACAAAAGTTTTTTTATAATCAAAAGACAGTATTAATATATTAAGAGCAAAATAATGAAAATATTTTTTTTTTCATTTTTCTGTATTTTACTGATTAGAGGACTCAGTTTTTATCATAGCTTACAGTCAGGTGTCAAATTTTTATAGAAATCAATTAATTTCTTTGTCAAACCTTCATAAAATGTTATGAAACTTTGGAAGGAGCCTTTTTATGATTAAGAGATAATATCTGCAGCAATATTTTGAAAATGTTTTTTTTTTTTCATTTTTAGTATTTTTGGTGATAGATGAACTTATTTTTTTTTTAACATTTACAAACAGTCTGGGATTCAGTTGTTTTAACAGGATAAATGTGTAATACTTCATGGATTGTTAAGAAACTTGGACATAAACTAATCTTCAAGTTCAAGAAATAGCATCTGAAGAAAAAAGTTTGATTAAAATTTATAAATAAAAAAAACTATTTTACTGATAATGGACTTGCATTTTATTTGAACAAACTGATCTGTTGCTATGTTATTTTGAAATTGAAGTTGATTTTCTTTTATGGCTTGATATGATCTTGTTTTCAGTATTTGAGATGTTATTGTTTTACAGTTAACATATACAGTCATGACAGTTACATGATTAATAAGACTACTGACTTCATTGCCTATCAAAATATGAAACACCCTTCAGCTTTAGAGATGCATCATTAGTATAAATGAATTTGGGTTGTTCTATGCTGAACATTTCAATAATTTGTCACAACTAATTAATATAAGTGAAAAATTGAAATGCAATTCATTTTTGGACTACAATAAAAACAAAACTTAAGGTGAGATAGTGATTCTTTTTTTTTAAGGTAAAAAGAAATGGATATGGACAGAAAATTGTTGATTTTGTATGGAAGTCAAACAGGAACAGCTCAAGATGTTGCAGATAAGGTTTACAGAGAGGCTAAAAGAAGACATTTTTCAGCAAGAGTTACTGCTCTTGACAGTTATGATATTGTAAGAGACTGGTGTAGGATAAACTATCTAGTATTTATATGATAATTTACATGACAAAAGAATGAAAGCAAATTCCAAAGCATGACATTGCTTTATAATCATTAAGATGTACTGCTTATTTACAAATTAAGACCCATTTTGATTCTTACAAATGTATATAACTATTTAGAAAATTGTAAGATGTTAACGTTAGACTTGCTCTGGTGGAACTCCGGTAAAACAAATGAAGTCACTTAACTTAAGCTTTTAATCCTGACAATTTTAATGTACAAATACATATAAAGGTTCACACATTCTAGTTAAGTCACTTATCTCCACATGCAAAATTTTAATATAATAAAATCAGTCACTTATAGATATATGTATATTACATGTACCTTTAAATTGTGGCAAGATGCATTCAACTCTGATCTTAAAATTGGCTTTGAACTTGATCTAAATTGGTCAAGGTTAGTGGTTCTCTCTAGGTACTACAGCTTCCTCTGCTGACTGGCCCCCATGATATATAGCCAAGAGTGCTGAAAGTCACCTCAAACACTAACACTCAAGCAATTTAGAAAAACATTTGGTTGGTATTTGACTGTGTTTTTCGCTGGTGTAACATCTGTGAAAAAGGTGGTATGGTTTTATAAAATGCTGTACAGTATTGAAAAAAGGTGGTACAGTTTTTCATGTAACTCAAGATCATGATGTGTAAATTTTGTATATTTTCTTTTAAGGTAGCCCAATAGTAGTACCACACAAATTGATCTGACTGTACAAGGTGCTTAGCTAGCACTTTTATTTGTGAATTTAAAAAGTTAATTTCATGTTGAAATTCAAGAGTCAAATATTTTGTTGCAATCTATTCATACTTGATTATTGAACCTGAAACATTTAAGGTTCATGTATGTTTTAGTCATTTCAATGAATTCTCTGTTACAGTCTAATTTGATCCAGGAGAAGTTAGTAATATTTGTATGTTCCACAAGTGGACAAGGTGACCCACCAGACAATATGAAGGTATTTACAATTTATAGCCACATTTATATCTTAAGATTTAGATTAATGAATGGAAAATCTATACTACTAAATACTGATGTCCAATTTGTTAGCCGGCATGATGTAAAAAACGATGAATCAAAGAATTCAACTTTATATGTAACTTATATAGGACAATGGTGTTGATTAGAAGTTACACCATTCTAGACCCTTTTGTTTTCCACATAATTAATTATTTAATATTACCAATAATTAACATACTGATACCAATACCAATAGTATAATGTCACATGTTACCTGTTACCTTATGTGTACGTTCCGCCTCTGTCAGGTGCACCACCAAATGGTGTATTTGGGATTTGCTATATACATGGGTCATAATAACACCTGAACTTCATCATTATACAGGGATTGACATTAATGAGTTCTATCATTGACCAAAAAAATATATCTACAAAGAGTTTCCGGTTGTAGTAAGAAAACCAGGACGGGTTCAAACAGAAAGATTTTGAAATCAGAGAACACTGTGCACCGTATAATCAGCATTACTTTATCAAATGACAATACCAATACTAAAAATCCAGGCTAAAAATAAGGCGTCTGTACTTTTATTCAGTCATGGACCTGCCACATGTCGTGGATATGTTCTAGTATATACTAATAAAAGACTTATTTCATATTCACTTTGTCATATTTTATTGAAAAATACACATGAAATACACATGATTGGTTTACAAATGAGTACATATGTATTTTAATACATGAACTAATGTAATGTTGTCAGTGTTTTACCTTTTTTCCTGAGTTTATTTCTGCTGTTAAGCGTCATATCTTAGCCTTTTATCAAAGTCATCCTCATTGTAAAGGTCATGCCATCATCATTTATCATTAGGCCATCAACAATGACCATATCACTCCAGAAATGTTATTTTCTGAATTATTACTATTATTTTCTGAGGTAGTTCCTTTCATGTGGCCTTTCAACAGAAGTAACTTTAAAGGATATGTATTACAGTAACTGTATTATGGGTTTTGAACTATAAATAGACATTAATTGATAGCTGTGATTTAATTTATATTTTATCTGTAGATGTTTTGGAGGTTTATACTGAGGAAGAATTTACCAGTCAACTCACTGAGTCAGATGTCATATGCTATGTTAGGACTTGGTGATTCTGCTTACCAGAAGTAAGTGCACATGTACCAAACATCTAGTACCAAATAAAACAAGTGTACCAGATATTTTTCCAATGTTTTTTAATGACAAATTCCTGTACTCATTTTTCATACCAACTGTCAATATGATAGTCAACACATTTATATTAACCCTTGTCTGTAAACATCAAAATTATTTGTAAAACTGTATTATTTGAAAACAAAATTGCTGATTTTTCATAGATATATTAATTGTCGAAATCCGGATATGGTGTACTAATTTTTGCACCTTTTGTGCGGTATACCATCTTTTCCGCAAGTTTATTGTTTTCTGTTTGGTATTAAATTAATAGTTAAGATCCATTTTGTTACATCTGGTGATTTGTTTATTTGGCAATCACCAATGGCAGTCAGCAGGATTTAAGAACATCCGTTGTTCGGCCTGCTAGTCAAATGCATTTTGTTAAAATATACTTTTTCACTTTTTTGGTCTTTTGGAAAATGTTGTTTGTGCTGTATTTAGACCCCTCTACCAAGAAATTTGTTTTGCATGCACACGTATAAAAATTGTATTTTTTTATCAAATGCAATCATAGATTTGAAAGTTGTTTTTAATTTAGACTTGTTTATATATATATATATATATGGCAGTCAGCAGCGTTTAAGAACATTCGTTGTTCGACCTGCTAGTCAAATGCATTTTGTTAAAATATACTTTTTCACTTTTTTGGTCTTTTGGAAAATGTTGTTTGTGCTGTATTTAGACCCCTCTACCAAGAAATTTGTTTTGCATGCACACGTATAAAAATTGTATTTTTTTATCAAACGCAATCATAGATTTGAAAGTTGTTTTTAATTTAGACTTGTTTATATATATATATATATATGGCAGTCAGCAGCGTTTAAGAACATTCGTTGTTCGACCTGCTAGTCAAATGCGTTTTGTTAAAATATACTTTGTCACTTTTTTGGTCTTTTGGAAAATGTTGTTTGTGCTGTATTTAGACCCCTTAACCAAGAAATTTGTTTTGCATGCACACGTATAACGTTGCGGCTTTTATCCAATGCAATCATAGGTTTGAACGTTGTTTTCAATTTAGACTTGTTTATATATATATATACATGTGATGATAGATATTTGATATTTTACCACAAAATCCTTCTGCATTTGATTACATGCAAGTAATATTTGTGTCATTAATGTCAATGACCTACATATTATGATTAAAGGACTTGGGGGAAATGTTAAGGGTAGAACTGATTCTTCTCAATGATTCCGTATTACGAAATATATGACGATATATCAATAGTTTTCCATTATTGCAATCCACTTTTCTAGTAGATTAATTTTGTGCAACAAATTAAGTAAGAATCTGGTTATTGTGACCTAAATTTTATGCTTCCAATTGTTCTAAATGTTAGAAACCAGTGTTCGATGTAGCAATGAGCTTCAATAACTACATGTACTACATGTTTATCTATATGATTTAAAAAAAGAAAAGTTTATTTCAAAACATTCCAGGCCCTATAACCTCTGTGAGCAACTGGATCTTTTTCAAGGTTTATGCTTATGTTTTAAATATCTTTAGTATTATACCCAGTTTTTCATATGACTATATTTGGGATTGTAAATTATCATTTTGAAAAAATTTGGTCATTATTATCATCAGTTATGGCTTAGACTACATCTTGTTAAAAAATAATTTTGGAAGCCCTGCTTGTTACCTTTTAAATTTATATCCAGTTTGTAGCTGAATCTCATAATATTTTTGTCTTGCAGACAAGAACATCATTAGAAATACTGTAAATTCAGAAATTATTGCGTGCATTTTTTATTGCGATTTTGTCATTTTAGACTAAAATGCGGTTTTAATTTTTGCAATATTGAGAAATCCTGTTTAATTCATATAAAAAATTTCAAAATGCGAGTTTAAATTATTGTGATTATAACCCTGTCGCATTTTTCGCAATAATAAAAACATCGCAATAATTTCTGAATTTACAGTAGATAGATTTGTCATTAATCATCTTAGAGTTTGCCAAGGTGCAGGATGGTTCACTATAGAAACAATAATTATTTAACTAAAAATTCCAAAGTCAAGTAAAAAACTCATTTTATTGGTTCAACAAGCTCTTTACCAATTTTTAGAATTGGTCTTTTATCCTATATGAGTTCTGCTGTCTTTAAATCCAAGAATAATCGTTAGTAAAAATAATTATTTATTATTCACTTCTATTGTAGAAAAGAAAGTAATTCTTAGCTTTATATTTCAGATTTAACTTTGTAGCTAAGAAGTTATATAAAAGATTACAACAGTTAGGGGCTGGTAGTTTGTTACCTGTGGCTTTAGCAGATGATCAACATGATTTAGGGTATGTTCAACATACTATGTTGTTCACTATTACAACAGTTAGGGGCTGGTAGTTTGTTAACTGTGGCTTTAGCAGATGATCAACATGATTTAGGGTATGTTCAACATACTATGTTGTTTACTATTACAACAGTTAGGGGCTGGTAGTTTGTTACCTGTGGCTTTAGCAGATGATCAACATGATTTAGAGTATGTTCAACATACTATGGTGTTTACTATTATAACAGCCAAGGACTACATTATAGTTTTCTTTTAACTTTTAATTGAGATATATTTTATTATCCAAAAATATTTTGAGAGATGGATTTTCTTTCACAGTAGACATGATGGTTCTAATGAGATGCAATTGTGATATAATTTTTGTAAAGGTTCATGACTGGATTAATTAACATTGGTGTATGAGTTCATTTAGCACGGTTGCCTTTTATATGCACTTAAAAGGGCAAATTTCAGAGAATGATGAAGAAACCTTTATAAAATAAAAATTGCAAACAATAAAAAGCCAAGCACAAGAACACATGATATATTTATAAAGGAAACATGGGAAGGAAAAGTCAGTCATTATTTTAGAATTAGAAAAATATACTTTAATCTAAAACCTCTTTGGGGCGAGTTTACTTGGTTAGAATTCTAAAAAAAAAAATAGCCTGAGATGTGGTCTCTTATATAGATTGGTTCTTACTAAATATGAATGGGGCCTCAGTGGCAGAGTGGTCTAAGTAGTTCAACTGCTGTATCACTAGCCTGTCAACATTGTGTTTGTAAGTTTATACCCAGCAGGTGAAGGGTGTATTTGACTCCAATCTTAATTGACTAGGATTGTCAGTTTTCCTACCGAAGGTCGGTGGTTCTCTCTGGTCACTCTGGCTTCCTCCACCAATAAAAACTGACTGCCACAAAATAGCCAATAGTGTTACACCAATCAATCAATCAATCAATACTAAATATGCAAATAAATCAATTTATGTAAATATTTGAACTCATTTTGAAGTTAATTTTATTGCTGCTTATTTGTTTGTTATAATGAAATAGCTGTTTAAATTAGTTTGAAAATACTCTGTATGCATATTTTTATATTCAAACAAAATTCCTGTTTATAATTTTCAGACCTGATGCAGTTATTTACCCTTGGTTGGACTCTTTGTGGAAGAAGGTTCTGCATATCTATCCATTGCCTCCAGGAAGGGAGATAATCAGTAGTAGTATTAGGTAAGTAATAACCACTTGCAGCATGTACATTCAATACACACAATATTTAAGATTCATGGTATATCCAATGAGTACTCTTGTGAGGAAAATGATTTATATTCTGGTAAAATTTTGAAGTGTCTATTTTTTACTTGTACATGTACTTATTTACTTGGATAAGTCCTTATTTGGCAATCTGCCAAGTTAGCAAGAAGCCGTGATATTAAATTGTTGATTATGATTTTGTTGATGAACAAGTAAGACATATATCTCTGATGTAACATATTTATCTGTAGAAGAAACTGTCCATCAGTAGGTTTGAACCAATTTTGCTGAAACAAATGGATCAAGTTTTAAATGTCTTAATTGAAATGTGTTGAAGTGAACTGTAGCAGTAGATAATAAACAACTCAGCAACAGAGACTTCCTGTATAAAATGACTTTTTACGTATTCAAATGAATGTATATTTTGGTATTCCATTAGATGTTACCAGGTAGGGGGGAATGTGAAAAATGAACATATTTTGATATATTGTGTTTGAAAATTATTTTGTAGACCTCCATCAAGGTATACAACAACTTTTCTAGATAAAACAGCATCACATCCAGACTTGGATAATTACAGAATTGGTAACCACAGCCAAGCAGCACCAAGCCAATCAAATCCTTTCTATGCCAAGATGACATCAAATGAACGAGTTACAGCATACGATCACTTTCAAGATGTTCGATTAATTAGATTTGACATAAGTAATTCAAATATAAGGTATTTTGTGATTTGAGAGTGTGACTGTTTTATTTCTTTCTTCTCAATTAGTTCACTAAGTAGTCAAACTACTGAATCACTAACTTGTCAACACTGAGGTTGTGAGTTCGAATTACCACATGGCAGGTGCATATGACTCCAATCTTAATTGACTAGGGTTGTCAGTTTTCCTACCGAAGGTCATGGTTTTCCCCGGGCACTCTGGCTTCCTGCACCAATAAAAACTGACTCCAATCTTAATTTGACTAGGGTTGTCAGTTTTCCTAAGAAGGTCAAGGTTCACTCCAGGCACTCTGGCTTCCTCCACCTATAAAAACTGACCACTGCGAAATAGCACAATAGTGCTGTAAGTGGCGTTAAACACCAATCAATAAATCAATCAAATAGTTCATGGATATTCAGTATGAGCCTGTGAGGATGAGTAATCCTCAGTTTGCCTTTGAGGAAACTACACACTTTACTCTAATCTTCAGAAGACTAAATTTTTTCATATAAGCAACTTAAAATCTACCTCTTTCCAAATTGGAGATATATTTTTTTGTCAAGTCTGTTCCAATAGTTTTTTCAATGCAAATTGTCTTGTAAACTTATTGGAATGACTCGACCAGGGCTGTGGTCTTGAAATTCAGAGAGCAACTCATCAAATTCACAGGAATATACAGTAATATCTGCATGTGAAAGGTGCGCTTGACTCTGATCTTAATTGACAAGAATTGTCAGTTTTCCTGCTGAAGGTTGGCGGTTCTCTCTGGGCACTCAAGCTTCCTCCATCAATTAATACTGGCCACAGTCATATTACCTAGAGTACAGATAGTGGTGTTAAAGACCAAAAACCAATCAATCAATTGATGGGTAATGCAGGTCAAGAAATCAATGATGAATTGTAAAAGTTTATGTGTTTTCACAACATTTCAAGAAATAAACTTTTTTGGTTGAGAGTCAAAAACTTAACAAACAGGAAGAGATAATTTTTGGTAGAACAACCTTTACAATCATATTTTTCAACTAAGAAATGAAAAATGTATCTTAAATGTTTATCAATGTTTTATCCAGTTATTCCCCAGGAGATGTAGTTGTGATTATGCCACAGAACTCACCAGAAACTGTTACAGAATTTATAAATCATATGAAGTTAAAAGATGACAACTTTTTCCATATACAGCAGCAAGATCTAGGTAAACTGTACAAGATATTTAATTTTATTTGGATTAAACACAATATACCTTTAATAATTGAATAATTTTCTAATATGCAAGTCATTTTAAAAAAATCTCACATATTAGTTATAATTCTCAACATATGTCTTATTTATATTCTAAATTCCAAAATTTTTCAGTTATCTGATGAGATGAAATTTAATTGGATCATTCATCTGAAGATTTGTTTGTTACTTCAAAATTATCTAGATTATTGCACTTCCTATTTGAAGAACGAAAGAAACTTCTAGAAAATATAAATGTAGTTTGAAAAATAAAAAAAAGGATCAGGAGTTGTCTCCCATAGGCCTAGGTCTATAAATTAAGAAAACCTATTTTCTCCAGGTCATAGTGGCTTCCAGAAGACTTAATGTTGCGTCAATGACATTGTTAACATGTTACTTTGTTTAAATGTATACATGTTTTTGTAGAAATGTACTTTAATCACTCTAATCATTAACTGTGCTTTATTGTGTAATAATTCATTTTGATTGTATTGCTCAAATTTTGGGCATCATCATTGGTCGATAAAAAATATCTATCTTCTCTTATCTTATCTAGGTATTCATTGAATTAATAACGAGCAGAAAACAACAAATAGCATCAAGATATTGATACATATACATACATCCATGAATTGTTCTTTCTAATATTGTTAAATTAATTGGCTATCTACAGTGTAATCTTTAGGAGTACAACACTGTTATTAAACTTAAGCTGAAGAACTTTTTACCTTTTACCAAGGTGAATTAATTAACCTAATGTTACTTTTGTATTAACCAACAAAAAAAAAGGAAATTAAACATGAAGTATAATAAATATATACATGAAACACCTTTCACATTTTCTGCTCCACACCTATTCAAAAAGGTATAAAGCAGAAAAAAAATTAAAAAGGCTTGTGAAACTAAATTTTTATTTTGAATGGCCTTTAAATGTTAACTATACATGTATAAGATTAATACAGACAAAAGTTATTTTATTTGTTATTAAATAAGCAATTTTCAACAGTGCATTCATAATTCCTTTTCTCAGAACTTAACTGTCTTAAACCCCTGTTTTAATTGCAATTGTTGTAAAAAAAACATCAGTTTAACAGATAACCAGACATATAGGAATAACGGTTGCCATGAATATTGCCACCTCCAGTTTTCTTGATAGAAATTCGATCTCCTCTCTTTAATGATAGAACAATACTTTGGTACTGTGTATTACCATGGTCTGTTTTGGCAACATATCCATTTGAGAAAAAAGTATCATTTTTCATCCATTTATAGTGAACATCATTAGCTCCTTGTGCCATTATCAAACAGCCCATCACATAGAGCCCGTTTTTTGGTGCTGTGAACACTCCTGATGAGGGATTGTATTGATTTCCTATGTTTGTCTCAATATCATCAAATTTTATGGTTTGCTCATTAGGAATGGTTAAATGTTGCTTAACAAATGCAAGAAAAGCTGGCTTCTCATTGTAACCTGCAACAAAACAAAATTCACTGGTCATGGACATTTTTTGATAATGCAGATGATGATACCGGTCATGAGAATTGTTTGCCTGGTCATCAAGACATTAGTAACCTTGTTCAAAATAGTTTTGTTCAGGGGTCAGGGTTTGAAAATCAAGCGAATAGCATTTTTATAAGACAATATTATTTCTGAAATCAGAACAGAAAACAACCATACCTTAAAGTGAAAAGAAAAATATGCAAACAGGTCACTTATAAGCTCTACCCCTTTATATTGGCAGGAGTACTGGGGTGTATGAGCTTGGTCACCAAACATTTTTAAATTTTGAATATTGTGCAGAAAAAAAAATGTATAAAAGTTGGAAGATTTTAGTTGTAGAAAATTTACTTAAATATGTTTGCTGCAAAATGGAAATGAACAAATTAAGTATTTCAGTTTGAAAATTAAAAAAAAAAACATCGAACCATTTCTGTTGTATTATATGAGTAATTTCAGTTATAAGGTTATAAAAATTGATAAAATATGTACTTACTGTTAGATTCACAGCCGAAGTTAAATATCTGATCTGCAACACAGAAGTTGGTCAAAGTTAACAAATGAATTAACCAAAATTTCAACATTGTGACACAAGCTATCTGTAGGGCTTATCTGCTGCCTCAGATATTTCTTGGTAGTTAATAGAATTTAAAAAAAAAATTGTGTTAATCTTTGCCCAGTCATACTTCCTAAAAGGAAGTTGTCAATTAATTTTTGTAATTCCTTAAGTTTGAAGTAATTTATGTCACACATACTCTTTTTTTAATCAACATTACACAAGTGATTAAAATTGACAACTGGGTCATTCTTAAGTGTTTCTGTCAGTGCACTACCAGTGTGGTATAAGAAAGACAACTCAAACATATTTTCAGATAGATTTTTATACATACACAACTTTACAATAAGACGATGCCTACCTAAATAGTTAAAAAAAATTATATCTATTAAGCATATTTTTTTTATTTTCCTTAATTAGACAATTCCTTTACATTCTTTGTTGACAATAATTGAATAAATTTTTTTTTAAAGTGATTTTTATGGGTGTTATAGGACTTTTACCATATTTTGACTTTTGTACCACAATGATACATTATGATACATAATTTAATTCATCTTTTATACAGTGGCATGAGACATTTTGCTATGGCTTGGCAATCTAATTGTATTTATAGATATAGGATTACTTGGCACATACAATACTTTTCACCTGACATATTTGTTCTATTTATAGATATAGAATTACCGGTCACGTTACCACATCCCTGTTCAGTACAGTATTTAGTACAACATCATTTAGACATCAACAGTGTACCCAGAAGATCCTTCTTTGAACTGTTATCGTTCTTTGCTGACAATGAATTGGAAAAAGAAAAATTAGAGGAATTCTGCACAGCAGAAGGACAGGTAAAATCCATTGATACAGATGATAGGATATGTCTTTCATTTCATCATTAAACTATGAAGTTGAAATACTACCTGATGTGGAGATGAATTTGATTTTTTTTTTTAATTACAATTTAATAATGGTAATATTTTTTAAAATATTTCCTATGTCTCTATCATGAAATTTATTTTGATCTTTGATGGGTAGCTGTAGAAAGATTTTCCACAGGCCTTATTTTCTATATTGTCTATAATCACTGTGTAAATAACTTCTTTTTTGAATGACTATACTTTAATTGATAAACCTTTTCTAAGGAACTAATTGTTGGAAGTGTTTTAGTACATAATGGGAATCTAATTATACCCCCGCTTTAAAATAAGTCCCCTATACCGTGTGATGTGTTTTCCTATTCATCACTCAACAACTTCCTGTTTACTGAACACTTGTATCATTTTACACATGATAGCCAAGTTGAAAATTTTCGTCACATTTTTCTCAGGAACTACAATACAAGGATTTCTGAAATTTGGTTTCAGGGTTTATATGAGTCAGTTGTACGGTGTGATGTGTTTTCAGATTCATCACTCAACAACTTCCTGTTTACCTTATACTTTTAGCGGGGCGGGGGTATCATTAGTGAGCAGTAGCTCACAGATTCACTTGTTGTACCATTATGTGTTTTATAGGAAGAGTTGTATACCTATTGTAACAGAGTCAGAAGATCTATTTTAGAGGTAATTATTAACATAATCACAGCTTTCGCTAGAGGAGTTTAATGTTTAGCATTTATCAAGATTTTTTTTTACGAAGTGTCTACATTTTGCATTTTTGAACTGAAATGTAAAATTTAGCAGGGCTAAATACAGGTGTGAAATAGAATAATAAAATAATAAGAATGGACAGAGAATTTCAAGTGTTGTATGAAAATTGGCATTTAGGTCAGGGTAAAATATTTTCCTGACAACCTCTGATCAAAAGCTGTTTGACTCTACAAATTCTTTCAGTCTTGCATGCTTAAAATATTTTTTAAACATGCTTAAAATACATTTTTAAACATGTGAATGTTTGCTCTCTAATAAACAGGTTCTACAAGATTTTCCCCACACTAGTGCCAATATTCCATTTGAATACCTGTTTGATCTAATACCTGTTCTTCAACCAAGGTCTTTCTCAATAGCTTCATCACAAAAGGTAAGTTTCTTATTTTTATAGTCAAATTCATGCAAAAATTTTCAAATTTAAAAATAACATTTTTGTTGGATTTTTTTATTTTATTACCAAGAGTTCAGTTAAGATTTTGTATTTTTCAGTTCAGACTTAAATTTGACAAATTTATTATGACTTAAACTAATACAGAGTCAAAAACAAATTATGCCAGTATGACTGATTTATACAAACGAAGATATCTAGCTATATAGAAGTAAACATGAAGTGTTTGAATGTCTTATTTAAAAAGAAAATAAAGAAATACAGTTTTGAATTATATATATTTTCAAAGTGTTCAATCAATTTTTTTTATATTTTAAAATCCTAAAACAGGGGATATTTTGTTCTGCTTTACAATACTTTTCTGTTCTGTTTGGTTTGACAGATGTATCCAGATGAAATTCATGTTTTGATGGCAGTTGTTAAATATAAGACAAAGATGTTTAAACCTAGACTTGGAGTTTGTTCTACATGGTTAGCTGGCATGTCACCAGGAATAATAGTGCCTCTATGGGTAAAGAAGGGGACTATAGCCTTTCCCACTGACCCAGCTTGTCCTGTTGTTATGGTGGGTCCAGGTATGTTGGTCACGACCTTCAAGCAAGAGTTGAAAATTTAAACCTCTAACAGTGACATGCAGTTTAAAATGATTGCAATTATTGATATGGCAATAATGGTTTACTGTAAATTGAGAAATGTTTGTGATTTTTTTTATTATTGCCAAAAATTGCAACAAGATATGTGTCGCAAAAATCCAAACTTGCATTTAAAATTTTTATAGCATTATTTGTATGCAGATTTTCCTGAAATCGCAACACTTAAACTTGCACTTTTGTTGATTGTTCAACAATTGCCACAATAAATGTACGCAATAATTTCTGCATAATTTAATTAAATAACCAAGTCTTCTTACTAATGCAGATATTTGTTGCCCGACACTACATATAACGAAGAGAAATGGGATATATAATTTCAGCCACATACTGTTTACAAGCACACAAAATTTCAGGTGTCTTTAAAGAAAAATTGTAAAGGGAAAAATGTTGACAAAAGAAGCAAAGAAGGATTAGCCTTCTATTTAAAAATGTTTTCAGAACAATGATTCCACGAAAATTAATTCATAAATATTTACCATGAACAAACACTACATATGGTGGTATGAGCATTATCTCATGCTTACTCATTCTCTTTCCAAATATAGAATTTTTTCCCTATTCCTATATTTAGGTACAGGATGTGCGCCCTTCCGAAGCTTTATACAAGAAAGAACTGTTGCTGGAACAGGAGGTGAGAGTACAAAGATATTTACCAAACTTGATAGCTCTTGATAATTTATTCCATAACATGTGCAGTTGTGGCCCTTTTCCCTCTTTTAAACAGATTAATATATGGAAATTCACATGTCAAAACATAACTCAAGGAATGGAATGATACATGATAGAATTTCTCTTACCATGTTTTCTAATGTATCCCTTGTTTTACTTTGAAATCAGATTGTAATCAGTTTCCAAAGGAAAAATCAGGTTATCTTATTGGTGAAGAATGGCGGGCGGGTGGGTGGGCAGGCAGCTGCCAACAGTTTCTATGCAATAATTATGCCCCCGCCGTAGTGGAGGGGGTATAAAGTTTTACCCTTGTCCGTCTGTACCTACGTACATACGTCCCAAAATTGGTTTCCGTTCTCTAACTTTAGTTTGTCTCAACTAAATGTTATGAAACTTATACACAATGCTTATTACCACAAAACACAGATTAAGTTTGAATTTTGGTGGCGTCACTTTTATCGTTCTAGAGTTATGCCCCTTTACAAATGGAAAATTGCTGAATTTATCGTTTCCGTTCTCTAACTTTAGTTTGCCTCAACCAAATGTTATGAAACTTATACACAATGCTTATTACCACACAACACAGATCAAGTTTGAATTTTGGTGGTGTCACTTTTACCGTTCTAGAGTTATGCCCCTTTACAAATGGAAAAATTGCTGAATTTTTCGTTTCCGTTCTCTAACTTTAGTTTGCCTCAACCAAATGTTATGAAACTTATACACAATGCTTATTATCACAAAACACAGATCAAGTTTGAATTTTGGTGGCGTCACTTTAACCGTTCTAGAGTTATGCCCCTTTAGAAATGGAAAAATTGCTAAATTTTTATTTTCTTCTAAATATCATGTTATTATACGACCGCAAAAAATTTTTGCGGTCGTATATTGGTATAAATTTGGCGTCGTCGTCCGAAGACACATTGGTTTTCGCACTCTAACTTTAGTTTAAGTGAATGGATCTCTTTGAAATTTTACCATAAGGTTCAATACCACAAAAGGAAGGTGGGGATAGATTTTGGGGGTTATGGTACCAACAGTTAAGGAATTAGGGGCCAAAAAGGGGCCAAAAATAAGCATTTTCTAGTTTCCAGACAATAACTGTGGAACGGTGTATGGATCTCTCTGAAATTATACTACAAGTTTCCATACCACAAAGGGATGGTAAGGATTTGCTTTGGGGGGTTATGACTCAAACCGTTTAGGAATTAGGGGCAAAAAAGGGGGAAAAACAAGGTTGTCCTGGTTAATGGACAAATAATTTAGTACAAAACATAATTTAAAGCAGTGTAAGGGAGATAAATCAAATACATCATTGAAATTATCTCCCTTACACTGCTTTTAAATTATGTATAAAGTAATGGTTAATGAACAATTAAGATAATTTAAAACAGTGTAAGGGAGGTAATCCAAATACAACGTTTTGGTTACTTCCCTTACACTGCTTTTAAATTATGTTTAAAGAAATGCATATTTATAAAGGAAGACCAGTAAAAATATCTGCAAATGTTGCATCTTTTTTTTTACAAAAAAATCCATATGAAAGATTTGACACTATATTTTAAATTCTATTATAAAATAGATTAAGTTAGCACTATGGTAAATTTAAATGGGTAATTATGGTTGCAAACTCCATTGGAAATTTGATTGAGATTATGAACATATCTTGAGGGAAAGAATTTTTTGGGGGAAAAAAGGGAGGGGGGGTAAAAAGAAATCGTGGGGGGTCAATTTTTTCTCATTTCAGATTTCAGAAATTAAAAAGAATTATTCTTCAAATATTATTTTTTTTTCAAATTTCAAATATTGAAAAATTTCAAAAAGTAATCTTTAATTGCACAGTATGGCGCATTAGATTTGTAAAATCTTTGACCACATTTATTTATTTGTTATGCCGAATCTAACCGTGTGTTTAGATTTTTAATTTTGGGTCCAGTTTTCAAATTGGTCTACATTAAGGTCCAAAGGGTCCAAAATTAAACTTTGTTTGATTTTAACAAAAATTGAATATATGGGGTACTTTGATATGCTGAATCTAAACATGTATTTAGATTTTTGATTTTGGGCCCAGTTTTCAAGTTGGTCCAAATTGGGGTCCAAAATTAAACTTTGTTTGATTTCAACAAAAATTGAATATATGGGGTTCTTTGATATGCTGAATCTAACCATGTATTTAGATTTTTTATTTGTGGACCCCACTATCAAATTGGTTCATATTGAGGTCAAAAGGTCCAAAATTAAACTTCGTTTGATTTCATCAAAAATTTAATTATTGGGGTTCTTTGATATGCCAAATCTAACTGTGTATTTAGATTTTTAATTTTGGGTCCTGTTTTTTAAATTTGTCTACATTAAGGTCCAAAGGGTCCAAAATTAAACTTAGTTTGATTTTAACAAAAATTGAATTCTTGGGGTTCTTTGATATGCTGAATCTAAACATGTGTTTAGATTTTTGATTATGGGCCCAGTTTTCAAGTTTGTCCAAGTTGGGGTCCAAAATTAAACTTTGTTTGATTTCAACAAAAATTTAATATATGGGGTTCTTTGATATGCTGAATCTAACCATGTATTTAGATTTTTTATTTGTGGACCCCACTATCAAATTGGTTCATATTGAGGTCAAAAGGTCCAAAATTAAACTTCGTTTGATTTCATCAAAAATTTAATTATTGGGGTTCTTTGATATGCCAAATCTAACTGTGTATTTAGATTTTTAATTTTGGGTCATGTTTTTTAAATTTGTCTACATTAAGGTCCAAAGGGGCCAAAATTAAACTTAGTTTGATTTTAACAAAAATTGAATTCTTGGGGTTCTTTGATATGCTGAATCTAAACATGTGTTTAGATTTTTGATTATGGGCCCAGTTTTCAAGTTTGTCCAAGTTGGGGTCCAAAATTAAACTTTGTTTGATTTCAACAAAAATTTAATATATGGGGTTCTTTGATATGCTGAATCTAACCATGTATTTTGATTTTGGACATTGGACCATAATAGGTTAATTAAAAAAATTCAAGTTCTTAGACCACATTCTTTCTGTGTCAGAAACCTATGCTGTGTCAAATATTTAATCACAATCCAAATTCAGAGCTGTATCAAGCTTGAATGTTGTGTCCATACTTGCCCCAACTGTTCAGGGTTCGACCTCTGCGGTCGTATCAAGCTGCGCCCAGCGAAGCATTTTATTTTTAAAATTGGAGTTATCTTTCTTTTTCCATGATTATAGTTGAATCAACTACAATCAATGCTTTATACAATGCAATGTTTAATTTTGACTTCCACAGATAAAACACAGATCAAGTTGAATTTGGGTAGTGTCACTTTTTAACCATTATTGAGTTATGCCCTTTATAAATCGAAAGATTGCAAAATTTTTAGTTTACATTCTGTAACTTAAGTTTGCCCCAACCAAACATTATGAAACCTATATACAATATTCATTACCACAAAACTAAGATCAAGTACAAATTTTTTGTTTCCATTTTCTAACTTTAGTTTGCCTCAACCAAATGTTATGAAACTTATACACAATGCTTGTTACTACATAATACAGATTAAGTACGAAATTTGGTGGCAACACTTTTACCATTCTTGAGTTATGTCCCTTTATAAACATAAAAATTGCTGAATTTTTCGTTTCCGTTCTCCAACTTTAGTTTGTCTCAACCAAATGTTATAAAACTTATACACAACCGTTCTAGAGTTATGCGTGTTTACAAATAGAAAAATTGCAGAATTTTTAGTTTCTGTTCTCTACTTAAGTTAGCCTCCACCAAATGTTATGAGACTTACACACAGTGCTTATTACCACAAAACTCAGATCAAGTTCAAATTTGGGTAGCGTCACTTTAACTGTTCTTCAGTTATGTCCCTTTATAACTACATGTATATGATATGAAAGCGGGGGCATCATCTGTGTCCACATGTGGACACTATCCACATTTATTTTAATATGAACTCTTCAACCAATGTTTTTCAAATTTTAATATGTTGTTACTGCTGACAAAATTGAGGTACAGTTAGATATTTGGTTGCTACTGTCTCAATGCCATCATTCTTACAAGGTTAATAATCTGTAATAACTGAAACAAGCGGAACAAGACGAGACATACAATTTAGTGTCAATTACCAAAAAATGTAATTCTTAATTTTTGTTTTTTGTTTTAAGGTAACACATTATACTTTGGATGTAGAAACAAAGACAATGATTACTATTGCAAGGATGAATGGACAACTCTGGTCAACAAAGGATTACTTAACTTAATTACTGCCTTTTCTAGAGATCAGGTATGTTTATGTTGTTTGAAATCACAAAATCAGATTCACACTCTTACAGAAAAAGTGAAAAAAATAAATTGATAGTTTTTTTCTTTTTTGTCTCTTTTGTGATCAAAGTCATGACGATGAGACATAGCGATCCTACATTTCATTGTCAGGGTTGTGCCAAAATCAGAATCAGTCTGTTAAAGCTTCTTTTCTACAATAACTTTGTCAAATCTTCATAGAATTTAAGGAAACTTTTATAGAGACTTCTTCATAATCAAGAGATAACATCTAGAGTATAATTTAGATATTTTTCTGTATTTTACTACTATGACTTTTTTATGTTTTTTTGTTTTTTTTTTGGGGGGGGGGGGGGGTGGGGTGGGGGGGGGGGGGAGAGTAGTGAAAGGAGTTTGTCTACAGTGATTACTATCCTGAAAACATTGAAGTTGGGAGTTTAAACCCTGAATGTGGCATATTTTTTAAACTCCAATCTTAACCAACAATCCAGCCAAAGGTACTCCATCTTCCTACACTACAAAAAACTGACCACATTGGTAAAGCCAAGGTAGCTTTAAGGTTTTTTTATTTATTCAACATTTAGATAAAATCTGTTTTCAAAGATTTTAATACTTGAATAACTCTCAAAATTTCATGGAATTATTACAAACCCTGTATAGAATATCTTCAAAATCAAGAGAATGCATCCTGAATGATTAAAGCATATCATGGTTCTTGTACTTTTCAGGATGACAAAATATATGTTCAACATAAAATATTGGAAAGTAAATTAATGCTGTGGAATATACTGGAGAGTGGTGGCTGGTTTTATGTCGCAGGGTAAGTTATAAATCAAACTTTTTACATAATAACTGGTTTTTTTGTGTGATGCCTATCTTTCTGAGCAATATTATGGACAAGATTGATTTTATTTGTAAGATTGAAAAATTCACAATTTCTGTGGAATATTATAGGAGAGAAATGGATGGTTTTATGTTGCAAAGCAAGTCATTATGTGTAATGATAGCACTAGTTATGTACTACATTTTCCATTATAAAGAAAAAAATAGTAGGTATTTTCTCTATTAGAAAAACCAAGAAGAAATTTCTGCTTCTTATTGATTCAGAGGTGAACCAGTGTGTATAGCTGCTGATCATTTAGCATCTATCATTCGATCAAATCTAGCAAATTAACTTGTCAGTTTTGCATCAGCTTATTTTGAATTACCAAATTTAGATATATTTAAATGTTTTGAGATATATTTAGATATATTTAAATGTTTTGAGATATATTTAGATATATTTAAATGTTTTGAGATATATTTAGATATATTTAAATGTATTCCAGATGATGCAGATCAAATATTGAAGTTTTAAATAAACACAGTGAACGATTAAGTTAACCATTTTATTACTTAATTGCTTTAATCCTAAACAAAAAAGTTTTTTTTTTCTCAGATGTTCAATAACCAATTTTTTTTTTCACTGAGCTCTCTCAGTAATAAATTATTGAAAACCCGTAATAAATTATAAAAAAACAACCATGATAATCTGAAATCACTCTGTTTTGTATATAAATTAAATCTTTCATTTTCAGAAATGCTAAACGAATGCCAGATGATGTAAAGGATGCAGTTAAACAAGTGATAATGGATTGTGGTAGTAAATCAGAGGACGAAGCTGAACAGTATATCCATAAGCTAGAACAATGTCGTAGGTACCAGGCGGAAACATGGTCTTGACAGAAAATATATTCTAGTAATAAATTAAAATTTTATTACGTTTTTGTCTTGATTACTGGTACTTAAATTTTGCAGCATAATAAATCCCAAGTACCAACACCGAGAATAATCTATTTAACACCATCATTGTTGTAAGCTTCAGAACATAATAGGAAAAAAAAATCATATTTTAAGTTTTATTGTGAAAAAATGGACAACAGCGTATAAGTACAAACAACTGTAAAAAATTTATAACAAATCTTGTATCAAAACACAATTCTACAGTGAGAAGATTTAATATTGTAACAATAAATATACCTAAATAAGTTTATAAAAAATATAAATATCTTTAAATAACTTTACAATAAATAATAGTATCTGCACCTCAGTGTCACTGAAGTGTGTTTAGAAAAAAAAACAAGCAAAATAACTACATTAAAATATTCATTACATATAACTTTTAGCTTATCTATTTGGTAGTCAATATTAAAAGGATTCTTCAAAGTGTATATATTATTGATCAATTCAGAAGTAATTTTTTCAATCCATACTCTTACATTACGCTTACAGAAGAGTGATAATGTTGCATAACTATTTGTCAACCAATCAATCAAGAAAGAAAGTTTTAAAATTTTGGTGTATATACAAGTTCTTTCACACAGAGTAATTTTAGTTAAAACTGGACGGTCAATCTGACAAGGGTTAAATGATTCCCATTCAGGGGGCAGACACCAATAAAACATGGATTTTCAATAATCCATTTTATATCTGTACGTAACTGTATCGACCAGTACTTTCTGGACTCGGTGATGTTTCGCTGTCTGATTCCTCATGTTTGCTAACAAAAGCTGAGTCTACTGACTGACAGGATAAGTTTAGGACAGAATCAGAAAAATCTGGAGGATAATTTATCTGTAAAAAAAACTTCAGAATCATAATGCAGGTTATACATGATCCATAAAAATTATTATTCTGACAATTTGCTTACAATACTATATAAAAAAAAAGTATCTGATGGTAGTCGAGAATGCACTTGTAACACAATTTCATCAATAGACATCAAACACACTGCAAAATTTCTCTGAAGACAAGGCAGTTCAAATCTGATTTTTGTTCATATCCTTGTCTTCCATTGTCATACGTTTAAACAGCAAAATCGTGTATCACATACTGTAACCATTGCAAAGATGGAAAGTAGAACTGAAAACCAATGTAAGGGCTGTTCCATAAGAAAACATACATGGTATACAGTGAAGGCACTTCGAAAACTCATCTATTGGTGGGGGCCAAGACTTTTTTTCAGTTTTAAAATGTAAGAGAAATGCAATAGCTGCAACTATAGATGGTTACCCAATTTTCTAATTGCCTTCCTAGTGTACTCTGTATGTTAAATGGAACATCCCTAAGGTTTTGATTACACCACTGATTAAGTTATATAACTATCATTAACATAGCATTTGACTGGAAATCAATCTTGCTGAAGTATTTACTTTAGAAAAAAATGAGTCTCGTTTTCAGTTTTTATACGACCTACCGCAAAAAAAATTTTGGGGATCATATAATGGTATGATGTTGTCGTCGTCTGCGTCGTCGTCCGAAGCCACATTGGTTTCCGGACAATAACTTTAGTTTAAGTAAATGGATCTCTATGAAATTTTTTAAGAAGGATCAATACCACAAAAGGAGGGTTGGGATTGATTTTGGGGATGATGGTCCCAACCGTTTAGGAATTAGGGGCCCAAAAAGGGGCCAAAAACAAGCATTTTTCTAGTTTCAGGATAATAACTTGTGTTTAAGTATTTCTATTGCTCTGAAATTGTACCACAATGTTTAATACCACAAGTAGAAGGTTTGGATTCATTTTAGGGGTTATGGGGCCAACAGTTTAGGAATTAAGGGCCAAAAAGGGGCCAAAAACAAGCATTTTTCTAGTTTCCAGACAATAACTAGTGTGTAAGTGTATGGATCTCTCTGACATTGTACCACAAGGTTCCATATAACAAAAGGAAGACTGGGATTAAATTTGGGGTTAATTGCCCCAATTATGTTAGAATTAGGGGCCAAAAAAGGGCCAAAAACAAGCATTTTTCTAGTTTTCAGACAATAACTTGTGTGTAAGTGTATGGATCTCTCTGAAATTGTACTACAAGGTTCCATACTACAAAGGAAAGGCTAGGATTGAGTTTTGGGGTTATTGCTCCAAGGGGGGTTTCAAAAAGTTGGGGGGGGGGGGGGGGGGGAATTTTTCCCAATTTTTTTAAGGGATTCATTTTTTTTTTTTTTAATTTTTAAAATTTCGAATTTTTGAAAAGTTTCAAGAAGAAATCTTCATTTGCACAGTATTGGGCAATGGATTTATAAGATCTTTGACCACATTTATTTTGTGTCAGAAACCTATATTATGTCAAAAATTTGATCACAATCCAAATTCAGACCTGTATCAAGCTTGAATATTGTGTCCAAATTTGCCCCAACTGTTCAGGGTTCAACCTCTGCGGTCGTATCAGGCTGCGCTCAGCGAAGCATTTTATTAAGAAATATGCCAAAATAATCATAACAAAGACAACAGATGAGATAATTGTGTCTAAAAACTTTTGAGAACTTACATCGTTCATATCTTGGAACACACCATTGCCAAATATGGTAGGACGGTATGTCATCTCTGTAACCAAACCTTCCTCACTATCATCTGGCTTCTTTCTACATGGAATGTAATGGTAACCATCTCTACAAACCGTACAACAGAGCATAAGATAAAATAGCTGTCTAAATCATTTAAGTATTACTGATGTATGAAAAAAAGATTTTGCAGCATGTTGCCATCACAATGATACGTTTTTGTGAAATTATTTGGTATTTAGTTTCTAGTTGTATTAATTAGTCTACAGATATTATTTGGAACTGCAGCTGCAGTCATGGTTTATTGACTTTGAATGTTTTGCAAAGTTTACATGTTAAAGTATTGTCATTTTGATTTCAACATGTGCATTATATACTATCAAAATTGCATACAGGCGAGACATATCTCTGTGTCAACAGTTTATAAATCACTATTCTGTTGATAGATTTTAGAGAAAATGCAATATAAAGTGACAAAATTCATGCTTTTTGCTACTTCTTTTGTATAGTCTATACATTTATAGATTGATCAATACATTTCTAGACCTATTTCACAAACTTTTAATTGATTGTATCTGTAGGATGGCTAATGCTACAAATATCTACATGCATACAAAATTTCATCAAAATCCAAAATATTGATGAATTATACATATATTTTGCCTTAACTGAAAGTATTTATACAACTATCATTGATCAAGAATTCGGCCAGGGCAGAAAGTAGTACTGATTTATACAAAATAGTTTCTATACATAGCTGTAACTTTGTAAATTAGTAAAATATTTGAGTAATTTTATTATCAAATGAAAGCATAAGGACTAAAAGATCATTATAGAAACCTTGTTGAAAATTTCCTTTGATTAAGAAAAAAAAATATATAAAATTAAACCAGGCTGGCAATATTTTCCCTGTTGCTCAGATCAGAAGTACCTCTTTTTGAACTACCAAAATTCCCAAACCATATAAAAATAAGAAGATGTGGTATAATTGCCAATGAGACAACTCTCCACCAGACACCAAATGACATAGGATTCACTCTAATATACAATTAAAGATATGTTGATTTTTTTCAGCACAAGCCAAGATAAGGTATAGTTTCGACATGAAATGACTCACTTTATTTAAACTTAAAACAAAATAGCTTCAAATGCTTGAAATTGCAGAAGTTAACATATAAAGCAATGGGGCTATGAATTAGTGGTTTTATTATTACAATAGTGAGCACTACAAAGTCATCTCTGGCAACATTTAACAATAATAGAATGAGTAAATAAAGGGACAAAAAATAACTTCATTTGCAATTTTGTTTACTCAATGATAAGTAACAAAAGTTTGATATAATCTTACCTTTTATATTTGATGAAATAAATATAAGCAGCAGCCATCACTAGTGACAATAAAACAATTACTACTCCTATAACCCAGGTATAAGACTGGTGATTACTGTCGTCTTCTCGTTCACAGAGTTTACCAAGGTAGCCAGGCTTACAACTAAAATATGTCAAAAAATCTTAAGTTTCAAAGTAAAAAAAATACATTTGATGTTCCCCATATTCTGCAATGATAAAAGTATATTCAGATGTGTCAAAGTATTGAAGGCTTTAAACTAATCTTTTTAAATGATAATTTTACGATCAATTGTACGCTGACATGCATTTTTTAAAGAAATTAAGATGGTTAAAAAAATTTATGACATTTACATCCTAGTAAAAACTTTTATAAATCCCAAACACAGAAGGTGTTACGTTTTCTTTTTTTCAGTAGTTCAGTAAAATAAAGACATTGAAGAAACTTTAAATTAGAATGGTGGTAGGTTTATATAGTTTTATCTCTACTATCTTATGAAACTAAGTCTTTTTTAATTCAGCCTGAAGAACTTGCATGTTTTAAAAGTTGAACCTATTTTAATTTTAAGACTAAAATCTTTAATATCAACTTAAAATCTAATTAACATGTAAAATTTGTAAAATAAATGACCTAACATTTATTAATTATACAACAAATTTAATTGCTTCTATTTAGGTGATAAAAAGCTCAATTCAATATATCTTTTCCTAATATTCAATTTGGAGGAGAAATTCCATATATTTATTTGTATGGTTAATCTGTTTCTATTATTAATTTTCAAGGAATAGAAATGTCAATTGATAAGCAAATACAAATAATGGCAGTATGTTTTCTCTATCAATGTGCTTTGAGGTTACGTCTTATAATATAATATAATAAGACTCTTATTTTCAAACACATTTATAAAAGTTCTTTTTAACGATAAATGACTGCCAAAAACAAGCATTTTTCTTGTTTCAGGACAATAACTTGTATATAAGTGTATGGATCTCTATGAAGTTGTATGTACCACAAGGTTCCATACCTCAAAAGGAAGGTTGGGATTGATTTTGGGGGTTATGGCCCAACCCGTTTCGGAATTAGAGGCCAAAAAACTATGATTTTCTAGTTTCCAGACAATAACATCAGTACAAGTCTATGGATCTCTATGAAATTGTACCATAAGGCTCCATACCCAAAAAGGAAGGATTTTTTTTGGGGGGGCCTAACCAGGCTTGAATTCTTGGAGTTCTTTAATATGCTTAATCTAACCCTGTATTTATATTCAGGATTTTGGGCCCTGTTTTTAACTTGGTCCACATTGTGGTCCAAAGGGTCCAAAATTAAACTAAGTTTGATTTCTTCATAAATTGAATTATTGGAGTTCTCTGATATGCCGAATCTATACGTGTATTTAGATTTTTAATTTTTGGGCCTGTTTTCAAATTGGTCCACATTATGGTCCAAAGGGTCCAAAATTAAACTTAGTTTGATTTCAACAAAAATTGAATTTAAGGGATTCTTTGATATTCTCAATCTAACTGTGTATTTAGATTTTAGATTTTGGGCCCGGTTTTCAAATAGGTCCATATTAAGGTCCAAAGGGTCCAAAATTAAACTTAGTTTGATTTTAACTAAAATTGAATTCAAGGGGTTCTTTGATATGCTGAATCTAAACATGTATTTAGAGTTTTTACTTTTGGCCCAGTTTTCAAGTTGTTCCAAATCAAACTTTGTTTGACTTCAACAAAAATTGAACATATAGGGTTATTTGATATGCTGAATCTAATCGTGTATTCAGATTTTGGATTTTGGGCTAATCCAAATTCAGAACTGTATTGCACAAATAATAGAAATTGTAAGTAGATTCATAGTTAAAAATGAATACAGTATCAAATTCTAATTTTAGTTTGAAATTTACTGTTCATTATTAGATATTATGAATAATAATTAAAGGTAAGTTTTATTGATTTTTAGCTCACCTGGCCCAAAGGGCCAAGTGAGCTTTTCTCATCACTTGGCGTCCGTCGTCTGTCAGCCGTCGTCGTTAACTTTTTACATTTTGAACTTCTTCTGGAGAACCACTGAATGGAATGAAACCAAACATGGCATGAATGTTCCTTATGAGGTGCTGACCAAGTTTTGTTACTTTGAAGCGGATCCATCATCCGAGATGGCCGCCAGAGAGGGACTTAATTTAACATAGGACCCTATGGGAAATACATACAAATGTCTTCTTTTAGAGAAGCACTGAATGGAATGAAATAAAACATGGCATGAATGTTCCTTATGAGGTGCTGACCAAGTGTTGTAACTTTATAGCCGATCCATCATCCAAGATGGCCGCCAGCGGGGGACTTCGATAAACATAGGACCCTATGGACAATACATACAAATGTCTTCTTTTAGAGAAGCACTGAATGGAATGAAACCAAACATGGCTTGAATGTTCCTTATGAGGTGCTGACCAAGTGTTGTTACTTTGTAGCAAATCCATCATCCAAGATGGCCACCAGAGAGGGACTTAGTTTAACATAGGACCCTATGGGAAATACATACAAATGTCTTCTTTAAGAGAACCACTAAATTGAATGAAATAAAACATGACATGAATGATCCTCATGAGGTGCTGGCCAAGTGTTGTTACTGTGTAGACAATCAATCAACCAAGATGGCTGCCAATGGGGGACTTTGTCTAACAAAGGACTCTATGTGAAATATATACAAATGTCTTCCTCTAGAAAACCGCTTAATGGATTGAAACCAAACATGGTATGAATGTTTCTTTTGAGGTGCTGACCAAGTGTTGTTACTTTGTAGCTGATTTGTCATCCCAGATGGCAGCAAGCAGGGGGAGTAAGTTTAACATAGGACCCTATGGGAAATACATACAAATGTTTTCTTCTAGAGAACCACTGAATAGAATGAAACCAAACATGGCATGAATGTTCCTAATGAGGTGCTGACCAAGTGTTGTTACTTTGTAGCTGAACCATCACCCAAGATGGCAGCCAGCAGGGGACTTAGTTTAACATAAGACCCTATGGGAAATACATACAAATGCTTCTTCTAGAGGAGCACTGAATGGAATAAAACCAAACATGGCATAAATGTTCCTTATGAGGTGCTGATGAAGACCTTAATACATGTATCTTTGTAGATTGAGATCTACTGTAAACTACAAAAATATCAAGAAAAGATTGATTGATTGTTGGTTGCTTAACGTCCAATGGCAAATATTTCATGCATATTCAGGACGATATCAAGAAAAGAAGATCTACACATAAGTCAACATGAGCAAAATTGTCAATTGGAATCTTGTTGGAGTTATTATCCTTATAAAGTCATTTTCTACAATGTCAATGAATTTATTGGTAATTTCTGTAAACTTTACAAAAGTCTTCTGCTTTTGATTAAATTACCTGGGCCAATATTAAACCAAATTTGGCCTCAATCATTATTATGGTATCTGTTATGATTTTAATCTATTTTTACATGATTTCCAAAACCAAAGTAAAATCAGGTGAGCGACGCAGGCTGTAGTTTAAAGACATTGTATTAATGATGAATGATATTTTGGAAATTGTTTTTTCCTTTTTTTTGTAAATTTTTTGAAGAACTTCATGGTAGGTTTGTTTGTTATTCTGTATTAATCAATTTTCAGAATGCTATATTTTTTTTTTTTTACTTTCTTTTCTGTAAACCTGAATGTGATATACTTACATACACTTGGGTTCAAGTTTAGTATAGAAGCAATGGCCATCATGATGACATGGTAAATAACATGGCTGACCCTTTGAATTATTAGCCTTCAGGATTTCTGGCTCATGTATTGTTGGAACGATCTTATAAACATCTGAAGAATTATCTGTGGGTATTTTGGTTGACTGGACAATTTTCTGTTGGTGTGTGGTTGAAATGGTTGTTGTGTGTTCTGAACGGGTTGTTTCCCATAATGTTGAAACTAAGGTTGGTTTATCTCCCCCTTGAGGAGTCATGTTTGGAACAGATTTCTCTCTTATATCTATGGAAACAAAACCAAGTTGTTGATAATTATATAATATGTTAACAAAGGACTACACTTAGTGTGTATGATATAACACAGGACTACACTTAGTGTGTATGATATAACACAGGACTACACTTAGTGTGTATGATATAACACAGGACTACACTTAGTGTGTATGATATAACACAGGACTACACTTAGTGTGTATGATATAACAAAGGACTACACTTAGTGTGTATGATATAACAGAGGACTACACTTAGGGTGTATGATATAACACAGGACTACACTTAGTGTGTATGATATAACAAAGGACTACACTTAGTGTGTGATAAGACTTCAACATATACTGTGGATTCATTATTTTTCGTGTGTACCAATTTTCATGGATTGAAGAAGAATTGTTTTTTCATGGATATTTGATTTCATGGTTTTGCCAAAGTCTGTATACAAGTCAATAGAAAATAATATTTCGTTAAACATTTAAATTCATAGGTGTTTCTCGTTTTTTTATATAGATTAGACCATTGGTTTTCCTCTTTGAATTGTTTTACACTAGTCAATTTGGGTCCCTTTATAGCTTGCTGTTCGGTGTGAGCCAATTGCAAGGCTCCGTGTTGAAGGCCGTACTTTGACCTATAATTGTTTACTTTTTATACATTGTGACTTGGATGGATAGTTGTCTCATTGGCACTCATACCACATCTTCTTATTTATATTACTGTGGATTCATTTATTTTCGTGGGTATCAATTTTCGTGGATAGAGAAAAAAAGACGTTTTGTGGTATACGTAAATTCGTGGATCGCTGATCACAAAAAAAAAAAAAATTCAGATTCGTAATTCGTGGATTTCTTTTTGATTTAGGAGATCATATAACCTCCTTAGATTGATCAATAATAAAACAAACAAAAAAGAAGGAATTCATTGAAAAAGTTTTGAATTGTCAAAATCCTCGCTTGGTCATTCTAGGTTAAAGTGTTCATTGAAAACTTCTATTACAATAATGGACAGAGACAACTAATTATTTGTTTGTTTTACAATGTATAAATTCTTATCAGAATTTTATAAGGCATTCAAAACTCTATGATTGAAAGCTCATTTCCCTAATCACGATTTAATAAACAGTCATATAAGTAAAAGGTGTGAAAATAAATGTTCCTGTCATAAACAATATTACCTACGGGCAATATCCCCGTACTTAATCCTATTGATTTTTAATCACCAGTAAACAAAACTATGACACGGTAATTAACAAATTGCAGTTATTTTCCATGAACAGTTTTAATCAATTTTAAAAAGTAAATTATCACTGATATTCGATATATTTATTATTGATTTAATCAAAATACTTGTATATTCTTTCAATAAAACATGTGTTATGTTACAATGTTTATCGATAGTCAACACTATACTAGAACTGCATAACATAACCGGAAATAAACATCCGACTCCATTTCTCTGGATTATTCTTCGTTGAATTCTTAAATTCGTGGTTTGCTATGACCCACGAAACCCACGAAAACTGGTATACCACGAATAAAAATGAATCCACAGTAACCTATACTCATGAATTAAATTGGTATCCCACAAATGACAGTGAATCCACAGAATGTTAATAGTAAATGTTTGACAAGCCATAAACCAAACACTCTTATAATTAAGTGAACATACAAATGCAAATATATTTAAATACAATAAGATCATTTAAATATATTGCTTTTTTTGTAAAAATTTTCAGCAAATTTAAAAGATGTCTTAATAAAAATAGCTGAAACTGTAGTAATGCGCAAAAAAACCATTTCAATTTCATTACTGTAAATTCAGAAATTATTGCGAGGTTTTTATTAATGCAAATAATACGACTTGGAGAGTATCGAAATAATTAGAACTTGCATTTTTATATCTGATACATATATCTATAATGTAAGGGTACCCAAATTGCACCTATTTTGACAGTTTTTTCACCTACGTTTATTTATGATCCAGACAAAAGTTTCCATTCTGTGTTTATTTTGTAGATATATCCTTATTTACTATATGGTTCCACCAATTTAATTTTGAATCCATATTGAATCCTAGAAAAATGGGTTTGAACAGACCTCCAAACTGTCCATGATTCGGTAATGAGGAGTACCCAAATTGCATCCATGCTTAAATTCAAATCCATAAAAATCGAATAACAGATGTTTTGTTTTATTTCTTCAAATATTTAGAACAATTTGACATTAGTCTATGCTTACTGTTCATTTTTTAAGAAATGGATGCTTGTAACATATTTTATTTGCTCATTTTTAAAAGATGACTTTTTGTGGATGTCGCATGGCGACATTTCCGAAGAAGTTACTTTTCCCAGTGAATACTTCATCTGTTTATATATACTGTGAACGTTTTGTGTATATTTAAATATATATACCTATGTTGAAAGATGTGCTTAATATCAAATCATAAAAATACAAATTGTTTAGTCTCTTAGAAAATTTGTAAGATTTTCACTGACTAAAAAGGTGTAATTTGGGTACTGTGACGTTATACAGATTTTGCTGAAATCGCAATAATTAATCACACATTTTTGTCCATTCTTCAAAAATCGCAATAATAAATGCAATAATTTTTGAATTTACAGTACTTCATTTGGTATAATGAGATCTCAATGTAATTGTTGGTGAGGGGAGATAAATCATTACAAAGTTACAAATTCTTTATTTATCACATAAACTAAATTATAACTATAGGAAACTTCAAACATTTCAATCTCTTCAAAGTTGTTGGAGCAAGACGGAATGTGTGGCCTCATATGATGCCCTATATTTATAGATAAGTGTATGCTGATTTAAATCTTAATATTAGTGATAAACCATGAATAATAATCTGACATGAACCTAATCAAAAGAATGAGATCACGTGTTCATGTCATCGTCTGCTGTAAAGTTACTTCTATGTGTCACTTCCTTACTAATAATTTAATCACAAGCTTTAAGGAAATGGACTTGAGTTATTATGCATATAGAAACAAAATACATATCGTTTCTCACCTAAAACAAGCACATGATATATTAATCATGCTAAAGCCGGTGCTAGGGGCCGTCTTAAACTTGCAGTGAGGTGAGTTTTTTTGCTCCGTGTTGAAGGCCTCACTGTGACTTTGAGATAAAAAGCACTGTTCCTTTACTTTTTGTGTGTTTTTTGGCTGTGCATATACTGATTTTGTGTCATTGATGGATACCCCATATCCTTTGTTTTTCTATTATGTTCTTTGTTTTAACCATGTTTTGAGTATATTTGAGTCATACATTAACGAATACTTATTATCCAATAAATACCTATACACTGTGTTTTGTTATGTAAGAGATAACCATCAAAACATGAGCATTCTGCTCCATTTCTTGTCAACAAACATAGCTGTGAACAATTCAAAGGCTGGCAAACATTTTTATCTGGAAAGAAATATACATGAAATTTATTAATGCAGTGTGAAACTAAAGTAAATAATTCTTTCCATTACTCTTGATCCAAAAAGTGTCTATGGCACATTAGTAGAAGGACTAAAATTCTATTGAATTAATAAGTCTTTGTCTATTGTCATGAAGTAAAGGGCTAGGAGTTACAGCAAAAAAAAAACTAAAGATTGTTGTTATTTAATCCTCTATTGATCTCATTACTATCTGGATATCCTCGACACTTGATTGAGATTTTGCAACACTAGATCTACTGAAGTCATACAACAATCACTTTTGCTTTGTGGAGACAAGACATTTTCTCTCATGGTTTTAAAAATTAATTGGAACATCTGTGATGTCCTGTAATGGATTACAAACAGTGATAAAAGTGTATTTTGATTATTGGTTCTACTGTTTATATATTCAAATGTAGTAGTCCCTCACTTATTTTTGAAGAACTGTAATATTTCAAAATTACAATTAAGTTTACAGTATAGATAGGTTTCGATGTGACATATTTTGAGTTTGAGTTACTTCCCTTAGACACCATTTTGGAGGTCTAAATGGTTAATTTTCTTATTTGACTAACCAAATTGAATACTGTACAAACAAGTCTGATAAGACATCCATAATATATTGTGGTGCTGAATTAAGCAAGGTTTAAAGAAATTAAAATTGTTCAGACAACTTTTTCTTAAATCTAGCAGTCAGTATGACAAGTTGAACTCGGCTGATAAATGAAGGAATCTGTTTAAGCAGTCTGACTATAGCCAGCCCCCACTATCCACAAAGCATCTGGATAGTGGGGGCTGGCTTTATTCATACTGTTAGACCTCCAAACTGGTGATAAAAGGGAAATAACTTTTGCTCAGGTTGGTTAATAGAATAGTGTTTTGTGAATGTTGTTTTCTTTTGGTCATGGTATTGTACATCCTTCTTCAACTTATAATTTTTGATTGACAAGCCTTTGAATCTTCTACCCTTTGTGACTTCAATTTACTGATCACTAAAACTCAAGTTTGGGGCCATTGAGTAATTACTGCCAAAATAACCATGGCAGCCCTCAAGAAGAAATCAATTTACCGTGCTTCTGTAACAAAGGGTGGATAACTCTGATACAAGATGGCATATTTATTCCTTTTAATACAATTTCTGGTTGGTTTCCTCCAGATTTGCCCATCTTTAATAATGAACCTGATTTCTGATCTGTTACATAAATGTCATTCTCAAACACATCCAATGCAGTAAAATGATATTTGGATAGTTCTTCTATAACTATATACCTACAGAATAAAATAAGAAACACTGTTTTCACTGAATATGCGTCTCATTAGCAATCATACCACATCTCCTTATTTCTATAATGATTAAAAAACAAAAATGAAATACATGCCTTTAGCCAATTTACAAAAACTTGTATAAGACTCAAACTTTAAGGTACAATATTCTGTTAATAATAAGTCCATCAAAATGAAACAGAATTTCAATATGTAATAATAATCATGTCTATTAGAAATTGAATTTTAGTCTGAGATGTTATTTTGATCTGAACATAATCTAAAACTTCTGGATGTAAATACTTTAGCTTCTGATAACTCTGGTCCTTAACTTGGTTTTGTTATATTGTTGGGTTATTGTCTCATTGATGAATGCCCTGAATCTCATTTTAATTTAATTTAATAATTCAAGCAAAATATAACAATTACAGTGTTTTCCATTCGGCATTTAAGCCGGGTGTGCCGACCATCTTCTTTTGAAAGCCGACCACCTTTCCATTTTAGGAGGTGGTCGGCTTTTTTTTCAAATTCCGGCTTTTTTTCGGTTCCGCACCGTAAAAATTTGAATACTAATCGCGCCTCGCTGATTTGTTTTCATTGACAAAAAAGGCGGATCGTCAAATTTCAATGTTTTCTATTATTATTCGGGGGAAGAGAAAGGCAGATGACGATGGTGATAAGGAAAACTTTAGACACAATAAGTCAACTAAAACGGATAGTCGTATTGAAATTGTTAAAATTGAAAAAAAAGTATCAAAACAACGGAAAAGGCACGTGAGCGATCGGGAAGGTAAACAGGTTGGGAACAATCCCCTAATGAGGGATATTCCTTAAATGAGTGACAAGAGGTCGTCTTATTGTTGAAGAAAAGAAAAAAGAAAAACTAAGATTGTTTAACTTAAAAGGGGGAAAACTCGTTATAAAATCGAATCAAATCAAATAGTTTATTATTCCAATCAGGGTCCCACAGGGGGCATTTACAATTAACAATAATTTATGATAGTATAACTATAAGCAACAAACATGAGACATTGTACAGTTATGTAATATTTTGAACAACTTTTCTAAAAGAGGGTCCCTTTTTTTTAATGATAAAGTAGATATAAGTCCAGGACTATTACAAAATTCTTGGACATGTTTTTACCATATAATACCGAATAGATGTATAGTTCTTTGGAAAAAGTTTCTGTAAATGAAATAAATATGTGCTCATTTGTATCTCTTGAAAAATTTCCTTCATAAAAGAAATAGTCATTACATTGAGAGGTTGTTCCCAAGCTGAGAAATATGAACAGGACTTTAAATGGATAATCGTCACAGAAGAAGGATGTTACTGTTCTGTGTACCAAAAATACAGCACTAAAGCAAGGAATAGGACAAAATCTTGACAGGAGGAGGAAGTCCTGCAAAAGCCATCTGCTATTCAATTCCATTAAATGTGAATACAATACTAACCATTCTTTTTGTGACAACACCCACAGTAAAAAAAACCCGGTTGGAAAAGTATGAAAAAAATAATACGACCGGTTGCAACTGATTTTTTCAAAAGACCCACCTTACCTTAGTGAAAAATGAAGAACACTGAATTATACTGAATTTGACCTTGAGGAAAGGGTGAAAATGGACTGAAAGACTGAATAACGCTTAAAAATTTCAGTTCTTAAAGGTTGGTTCAATTTCTGTTAAGTTTCTCAGTTACAAGCTATATACCAGTATATCTTTCTAAATTGTTTACGCATCTGTTGATAGTTAAAAACCATGAGTTGACCTCTAGATTTCATTTTATATATTCTTTGTCTTTGGGTTGCTGTCTCATTGACATACAAACCACATCTCCATTTATCTAAATTTAAATGACTTGTTTAGTTCCACATCTATCTACTTATGATCAAAAACATTCATCAATAACAAAAATATACTACTAACGAAACATGTAGACCATAGCAAATAAAATTGCAGACCATTTGAAGTGTTGTTGTCAATTTTGAGTATTATTTAAATGCTGCATTCATTTGCATAATTTGACAACCCTGCATACCAAGGTTTCCACTTCAGGGACTCTATCGAAATGATTAACACAGGCGTTGGTTCACCAAACGGAGTTTAATAACAAAAAAAATTTAAGACATTATCAGAGGGTTATTATTCTGTTAAAAATTGTTCTATGAAACATTAACCCTCAAATATCTATCTATATACTAACATACTTGGTAAAAAATTCTTTAGAGCATAAGTTGTATTTGTTATGAATAAGATGAATCCTAATTTATTTAAACATTTGTAACATTTTTCTAAAATTTGCTGTTAAGTTCATGAATTTTTTAATCACTTAAACGAGTTTACTGTGACTTAGGTGTGTTAAATATCATTCTTGTGCAACTCCTCTTTATAGTTTTTATTTTTTTAATTGACTTTGTAGTCTCAAGAAAGGTTTGCTATATCTTTCTTTTTTAAGTTCAGTGGGTAACATGAGAACTCACCGATCTTCTCCATTCAAAGTAGCTGATTCAACTCTGCCAAGGACTTTGTCTACCCAGTAAATACGATTAGCTGGCATATCTACTACAATGTCAGTGGGCATGCTCAGATCTCTGTCTACTATCACATGATGATGTGTACCATTCATACATAATTTCAAAATTTGTTTCTTTTTTACGCTAATTATGAACATAATTCTGGAAGAAAAATAGAACAGGGCATCATTAAAACATTTGGAATCTTCTGTACCATTTCATAAAAACTTGTAAAAATTAAGAGGAATTAAGTGTTTTTAATAAACAAGATGTAGCTAAATTTGTCTGATTCAAGTATTTGCCTAGTTGGTTCATACTGCTGGTTCAAACATTGCCTAGGTGGTTCATACTGCAATGGCAACAATATTAGATTTCTTCTTCTTGCAGAATTTTGTATTTCTGAGTATTGTAATTAACTTATTCTCACCAAACTCTTGAGTGAAACCTTTGCCTAATCAATGATCTACCATTATAATAAGCAGTTACTTATAAATACAGTTATTCAGTACAAGTTTGACTGTTTCTTTTTCAATTTTTGCCAATATATGATCAATATAGGGTTTTGCATGAAAATGAATATAAGTATTTGTAGAAATCCTAACCAATCATATATGATATTCATTGTTAATTCCTTAAAATGAACTCTAAAACATATATGTGTTGGATTCAGATGCTTATAAAATGTTCAATTTTACAGACAGTGAAATTAGGATTTTTGTCTTGCTGTAAAGTGACAATTATTTGTACATCCCCTACAACAATGTTCTACACTGCAAATATCATTAACCTACCCCTTATCTGGATACAGATTTTAAAACCATAATAATCTTCACTGCAGATAACTATAACTTACCCTTTATCTGGATACAAAGTCACTCTTCTAAACTGCAGATATCTCTAACTTACCGGTACACTTTATCTGGATACAAAGCTCTACATTGCAGATATCTCTAACTTACCAGTACACTTTATCTGGATACAAAGCTCTACATTGTAGATATCTCTAACTTACCGGTACACTTTATCTGGATACAAAGCTCTACATTGCAGATATCTCTAACTTACCGGTACACTTTATCTGGATACAAAGCTCTACATTGCAGATATCTCTAACTTACATTTTACTTGGATTCAAAGCCACACTCTTCTACACTGCAGATATCCTTAACCTACCCTTTATCTGGATACACAATTTTCAACACTGCGGAAATCTCTGGCAAGCCATTTTACTATTTATTCTAACTTCAAGATATCTAATAAACTTTATAAGATATCTCATAAATCTTATAAACTATATAAGATATCTTATTAAATATATGAGATATCTTATAAAGTATAAAATATTTATACGATATCTTATAAACTTCAGAAGATATCTTATTAAAAACTAGATTATATAAGATATCTTATATATTATATGAGAAATCTTATATATCATATGAGATATCTTGAATTTGGAATAAATAGTAAAACGTCTTGCCATAGAAATCCCTCACTTACCCTTCATCTGAATACAAAGCCACATTGTACACACTATAGATATCCCAAAGCCACACTATTTACCTCTTTATACAAAAAATTTCTACACTGTAGATATCTCTAATTTTCTCTTTACTGGATTATAAAGCCAAACTACCAATCTATCCATACAGCAATGTTTTACACTGCAGATATCCCTAACCTACCCTTTATCTGGATACAAAGCCACAATTTTCTACATTGCAGATATCCATAATTTTCACTTTATCTAGATACAAAGCCTACACACTGTAGATATCTGTAACTGACCCTTTATCTGGACAAAATTTCAACTTACCACCTCTTGGTACAACAATGATCTAGACTCTAGATATACTTTACATCTTACCCTTTATCTGGATACAAAGCCACACTATCAACCTCTTCATACAGCAATGTTCTACACTGCAGTGGCACAGCCTTCACACTACACACCAATAAGTGCTCTTTCTTTTCATCAGAGACATACAGGTTTTCTCCTATCCAATCAAAAGCTATGCTACTGACATACTCCAGTCTTTTACTGATAGTTTTAATCACCCTTTTCTTCCAAGAATAAAGATGGATTCCCTGCACAATAATATAGATAGTTTAATTTATCATTTTTATCTTCAATTCGAATAAATGTTACTCGTTTTATTTTATCGTATATTAAAACCAGATTTTCATTTTATTGATCTTAAAGCCCAGCATCTAATATTTCCACTGATCTCAATAGGGTTATCACCCATGAAAACCAGTAATTTACAGCACAAAAAAATAAAACTTATCAAAGGTACCAGGCTTATAATTTTGAACGCCAGACCCGCGTTTTGTCTACAAAAGACTCATTATAGAGGCTTGAATAAAAAAAGTTAAAAGGCCAAATAATGTACAAAGCTGAAGAGCATTGAAGACCAAATATTCTGAAAGGTTTGATAAAAGACATGGATAATAGAAATTGGACCATATATAACCATACGCTGAAATTACATGATAACTGGTTTGCATTCTAGGTGGAGTATAAATCTGAATTAGATAAAAATACTCAACACCTTTCTCACATTTATAAGTGTCATTGTTAAAGCAATCAAGGGCTATAACTCCTGAATGGCATAAGAGAAAATCGTCAGAACCAATCTTGATCCACATTTTGCTGTAAGACAACAAGTATTGGATCAAGCGTTCGGAAGTTATTACACAGAATGGACACATGGTGACATTTTCCAATTAATCAAGGATGAGCAAAAGTGAAAATCATCAATATCAAACTTCACCACAATTTTTTCATCAGTCACAACATATTATATAAAATCTGAAAAGCATTGGTTGATTTATTCTGACACAAATGACATCAAGGTGGTACCAAACACCTGGACTAAAATTAATTTTCATAAAATTTTGACAAAATATTCACTTTGACCCTTTGACAAAAATATAAAAATTTAAAAAAACTTGAACCACACACTTTAACAGAAAAATTTCATTGGATATATAGCAGTTTGACAAACACTATATTTGATCATTGAGAAGCTTAATATTTCCTTAAAAATAGAACGTGATTAAAACGTTCAGCTGATTTTTACAGAGTTATCTCCCTGTAGTGTTATGTACCACCTTGAGTGCCATTTCACATTCAATCAAGGACCATTCAGAAGACATTAAAGGGAAAATCAAAAATCATAAGTCAAAGAAAAACCAACAATACCATGGCAATAAAGGAAAACAACAGTCCACAAAAAACTACATAAAATACTAAAGACTGAGCAAGACGAACCTCAACATAAATCAGGGAGATATCAGGTGCTTCAGAAGGGTAATCAGATTCTGTTCCACATGTGGTACCCTTCATGGTGCTCATGGCAAGTTAAAATTCATTGAAAAGTCTCATTCAATGATGTCACAATCAAGGAAAAGATAACAGAATAGTTGCTACGACAAATGGAAAATATCTATGGTCATCTGTGACAGAGATATTTCCAAACGATCAACAAAATCATGATGGAGTTAGTAAAACTTTCAAAGGAACTACTTTTTCACTAAAAACCCTTGGTTCAATAGCTTCCTTTTAAGCAGGAACCCACGATAAAACTCCATATGCAGGCCTGCAGAAATATTACAACATGAAAATGTAAAGTTCACAATAGGAAAGCTGATTTCACCTCTTTTGGTCATATTTTATTTCTCAACTGATCCTCAATGTCAACTTCTAGAAGTAAGTCAAGATATGAAGTAGACTTAACTGTAGCTGTGGTTATTTCAAGTTCAATTGGACAATCTCTTTGTACATATATATACCTTGCTTGAATAGAAATATCCATCCCCTGTTTGCATGTTTACATCCAATGTAGTGACCTTGTCAAAATTATTAATAAGGTCAGTGTCAAGTTTCTGTTGATGATCATCTAATACAATTACTCCATCTCTTAATGTCCCAATCACAAAACTTGGCCGTAAATCTACAAGCATAAAGTTTAATAGATTTTAAAATGATGAATAATTTTACATGTAGTAGGTGAATCGTGTGAAAGGAAATATTTATTCTGCTCTTCTAATAATCAGTGGAGGACATGTATAGCCCACTTTAATGCCAGATTTTTAACCCATTTCAGTGAAAGTGAAATTATCAATGCCCATTTTGTGAAAGTAATTTATTCATTGTAGAATTGTAGAATGATAAATTTCAATAGTATCAAGATATCACAATATAAAAATATAATGTCCATAATAATACACCACTAAAAGTTCAAAAAGTTAATTCAAATGTTCAATTGTCAATTTATGTAACAATGAACATAGGCTCTTGATATACCCCCTGTACAAGATTGTTCATAAAATTGAGATAGCTAGGAACTGTTCATTCTCTTAGTCTTGTTTAGACCAAAGAGCAGATTTATCCATACTTCTTATTATATGTTTTTGTTTGTAATTAGATGAAAGTATCCAGAAAACAAAAATCCCTGGGTGACGTTAACCATCACATGTCACACTTTTATTTCCTCTGTTTGTTTCAATAACATTTTTTCCCATAATTAACCAAATTGTCAATGCATACATTACTGTTCATAGTTTTAGTATGGTGATTTTCATTCAACCAGGTAATTTTTCGCTAAAATGGGCAATCGAAAATACATGTGAATGGATTAATTCAGCACTAAAATGGGCTATAATGTCTACCCTAAAATGTCCCCTAGTAGTCATCTAATCAGCATAGTCTTTTATCCACTATCCTGAACATTACAACTTAAATTTGCAATTATGATAAATCATGGGAGAATGATTTTCCAGTTACAGATTAAATACTCTTTTTCTTCATAAAGGGAAATTAATAATACATAAAAAAGAAAAAAGGAAACAGAAAACAGAAAACAGCCTGATACAGACCTAAGGTCAAATCACTTATATGTGCAAAATGTAATCTGTATTTTCTTAATATGGATGCATAGCAACACTATGTATGTTAAAGTTATATCACAATTAAGACCATTCACTTTTGATGTAAATATTATTGTAAATGAACATACTATTTGCAGTACAGAGTCTTCCATTGTCACTTGACCTGTAACCATTTACACAGGAACAAACATGGCTGCCATTTTTATTGAAGCAGAACTGGCTACAACCTCCATTCTGTACAGCACACTCATTCATATCTGTTTTGTAAAAAATGTAAGATAGAATAGTCAACTTTTTTCTATTTCATAGGGTCTTAACACTATAACAAAATACAGATTATCTATTATAATCATTTCATTTAGACGTGTTTAACTTTAAGAATTGAAGGCAGATTTCCTATGTTTTACGGTAAGTGATAAAAAACAATTCTAATGCATTTTTTATGTAACAATCTTTTTCATTGGCTAAAAGTTACCGTCAAATCCTTAGTTGACCAGTCGTAACTAAGGAGAGACCCGTCATTATGAATTCATTGGATCAACAAATGTCAGTTACTACAATATTATCGAAAATAAAACAACATCTACCTAATAATCGCCGTTTTGATGTGATTTTATCCAAATTTGAATCGTAGAAGTAACGAAATTACCTTCAGTTTGTAAGTTTTCATTTGTATGACGTCATGTTTAGCAATGACGTCTATGCGCCAAAATCATTCATGAAGTGTTGCGGAATTTTATTTTATTTCAAATTTATACATTTTTCCAAACTCTAACGTATTATTAGGTCTTTCCACTTTTCTGTGGAAAGACCTATTGTATTTTTTCTGATTATTATTATTTTTTTTTTTTTTTCTTCTTCCGCCACTTTTATTTCTTGCGTATAAATTTTGTTTCGCAAGATGTCGCTTAGATGTTTGGTATATGATATCGAACAGTTTATGCACCTTTGAAATTCACCCTGCGTAACCGAATACTTTTCTTTGTAGGAGTTATCTCCCCGAACACTGTTTTCCTTGTGACTGCATCTCCTTCGTAACCGTATAAGAAAGCGACAAATTTATTTTATAAAATTGCTCGTTATATCCTTCGCATGATTTGTTCAATTTTGACTGAAGCCATACGAACACTCCATATGAGAGTTATTTCCCCTAATGCATTTGAAATAAGTGATATGCATTTGTAACTGGTAAACCATAAGTGATAGAGACCTAGAGTCTGTTGATTTGAGGTCCTTGGTCCTAAAGAATAGAAAACTAGGTCAAGGTCAAAGGTCAAGGTCATGTTGTGATTTTTTACATTAAGTTCATATCGCTTCTTCCTAGAAAGAGTTATAGATATCGACAAAACAATTTAACCAAAAAGTTTGTCGCGACACGTGTTTACTAGAAAATTTTTGTCAAAATGGTACGCATCATTTTATTGCAGGGTCAATGTCCCTGTTATGGTCGAATCAACAAATTACTTATCAAAACTTCAAACTTTGCAGCTATCATGTTGTAAATGTTTCTTATCTCAATTATCAACCACAGTCTACCACTACACTCCCCCCCCCTTTTTTTCTACTGATTTTTTTTTAAAGTTATCCCATTTCTATGAAAAGAAAATCGCTTTTAGTGCCGTACATTATACTGTAAAATGCCAATCCTTCTTATGTACAAATTTCTTTCTGAAATAGAAATCCATCCCTGCAAAAATCTGCTCCAATTCATGTATTTTCTGAAATTAATCGATGAGACACGTGCGGTCCGCTTGATTGCGAAATTAAAATCAATGTCGTAGAAATCGCTCCTTTAAGTTCGTAAATATTACTGAAATCTTACAATCAAATTTCTAAACATGCATTAAAATACAAATCTGTGCTCCCGTAAACATGTGTACGTAATATGTATGCGTGATCCGACATCAATGACCTGTACAAAATAAAAACAATAGTTATCGTGTTTCTCTGATCAATACAAATGTGCTCTGTTCAACGGTCTCCCCTGAAAAGAAATTAATATTCTAACTCCAGACATATATATTGGAGGGTCACGTGATCTCACAACATCATCTCGTGCGCGGAACTAAATTTAGAATAAAACATTGCATATCCAAATAAGGAAAATAAAACTTCCAAGATAAAATTTACTCCGTTTTCCTACAAATTCAATCAAAATGCATACACAACAAATAGATGAAAAATGGAAGTCCGAAGTAACATAGAAACTAGAGAAAATTTTAAAATGAATGATGCTAGGATCAATTTTTATGAGGACATCTCAGGCGTCCGTTTAGCTGTGCGGGATGTCTAAGTACGCAGTCACGTTCGGTCAGAACATAGGCGCTATTTAAGTTAGCTGCGTCGCACAGAGAAAGTGCCATGCAATCAATCAATCAATCAATCAATCAATCAATCAATCGACCAACCAACCAACCAACCAACCAAAAAACCAAATAATCATGTTTCGGAGGGGAAAGACCGTTTAACAATTGTTTTTAAAACAATTGATTTATATTTATTATTATAAGGTCTTTCCACTTTTCTGTGGAAAGACCTATTGGTTTTCTTCTGATTATTAGGTCTTTCCACTTTTCTGATTATTTTTTTTTTTTTTTTCTTCCGCCTAATTTTGTTCTTGCGATAAATATTTGTTTCGCAATATGTCGCTTAGATATTTGGTATATGATATCGAACAGTTTATGCGCCTTTGAAATTTACCCTGCGAAACCAAATAATTTTCTTTGTAGGAGTTATCTCCCCGAACACTGTTTTCCTTGTGCACGCATCTCCTCCGTAACCGTAAAAGAAAGCGACAAATTTCTTTTACCAAATTGCTCGTTATATCCTCAGGATGTTTTGTCCAATTTTGACCTAAGCGATACGTAAACTCCATATGAGAGTTATTTCCCCTTCTGAATTTGACATAAGGGATATATAAATGTATAGCATGAATGGTAAGTGATAGACCTAAGGTATATTGATTTGAGTTCCTTGGTTCATTAAAATGAAATTGAGGCCAAGGTCAAAGGTCAAGGTCATATTCTAAATTTTGACTTTTCCTTGTTATTTGATCTCCTCTGTCACTTTTAAAATTACAAATTAAAGAACTAGTGCAAAATGTTTGCTTAATTGTGATTAAGATATGATACATTTGGTCTGAAATAATCCAATGATATCTTATATGAGTTATTGTCCCTGAAATGATTCAATTTAAGGTTAATTGATTATTACTCCATCTTGGTACATGATAAAGCCATAAGATCTTTTGCAAAATGTTGGGTGACATATGACCTTGAAAAATGTCAACCGGAAGTGACCTTGAGTGAACCGGAAGTAGTCATTTTTGCACTTATTTCATGTAGAAGTACATAGAAACCATATATTTTTTGAATGGTCATACATTAATCTATCATTTGAGACTGGAAGTGATATTGTATAAACCGGAAGTAGCATATTATCTCCCTTATTACAGGCATAAGTATATATAAACCATATATTTTTGGAATCAGTGTAAATAAAGCTATCATATGAGACCGAAAGTGACATTTTCTAAACCGGAAGTAGCCAATTATCTCCCTTTTTACAGCCAAAGTATATATAAACCATATATTTTTGGAATCAGTGTAAATAAATCTATCATATGAGACCGGAAGTGACATTTTCTAAACCGGAAGTAGCCAATTATCTCCCTTTTTACAGGCAAAAGTATATATAAACCATATATTTTTGGAATCAGTGTAAATAAAGCTATATGAGACCGGAAGTGACATTGTCTAAACCGGAAGTTGACAATCATCTCCCTTATTTCAGGTAAAAGTCTATAGAAACCATATGTTTATTAAATCAGTATGAAGAAACCTATGATTGGACGCCAATAGTAGCTTTGAGTAAACCAGAATTAGCTTCTCATCAATTATTTAGAAAATTGATGTGATAAGACCTTCAATTGTTCTTTGAACAATTGTTTTTTTTTGGTTTTTTTTTTCTTCCGCCAAATTTTGTTCTTGCGATAAATTTTTGTTTCGCAAGATGTCGCTTAGATGTTTCGTATATGATATCGAACAGTTTATGCGCCTTTGAAATTGACCCTGCTTAACAGAATACTTTTCTTTGTAGGAGTTATCTCCCCGAACACTTTTCCTTGTGTGTGCATCTCCTCCGTAACTGTAAAAGAAAGCGACAAATTTATTTTACCAAATTGCTCGTTATATCCTCAGGATGTTTTGTCCAATTTTGACCGAAGCAATACGTAAACTCCATATGAGAGTTATTTCCCCTTCTGTATTTGACATAAGGGATATATAAATGTATAGCATGAATGGTAAGTGATAGAGACCTAAGGTATATTGATTTGAGTTCCTTGGTTCATTTAAATGAAATTGAGGCCAAGGTCAAAGGTCAAGGTCATATTCTAAATTTTGACTTTTCCTTGTTATTTGATCTCCTCTGTCACTTTTAAAATTACAAATTAAAGAACTAGTGCAAAATGTTTGCTTAATTGTGATTAAGATATACATTTGGTCTGAAACAATCCAATGATATCTTATAGGAGTTATTGTCCCTGAAATGATTCAATTAAAGGTTAATTGATTATTACTCCAACTTGGTACATGATAAAGCCATAGGGTCTTTTGCAAACTGTTGGTTGACATATGACCTTGAAAAAAGTAAACCGAAAGTGACCTTGAGTGAACCGGAGGTAGTATTTTTTGCACTTATTTCATGGAAAAGTACCTAGAAACCATATATTTTTTGAATGATCATAGGTTAACCTATCATTTGAGACCGGAAGTGACATTTTATAAACCGGAAGTAGCATATTATCTTCCTTATTACAGGCATAAGTATATACAAACTATATATTTTTGGAATCAGTGTGAATAAAGCTATCATATGAGACTGGAAGTGACATTTTCTAAACCGGAAGTTGGCATTTATCTCCCTTATTTCAGGCAAAAGTATATAAAAACCATTTATTTATTGAATCTGTATGAAGAAATCTATACTTTGATGCTATTTATAACTTTGAGTAAACCAGAAGTAGCTTCCTATCAATTATTTAGAAAATTGATGTGGAAAGACCTTCAATTGTTCTTTGAACAATTGGTTTTTAATTTTTTTTTTTTTTTTTCTTCCGCCAAATTTTGTTCTTGCGATAAATTTTTGTTTTGCAAGATGTTGCTTAGATGTTCCGTATATGATATCGAACAGTTTATGCGCCTTTGAAATTGACCCTGCTTAACCGAATACTTTTCTTTGTAGGAGTTATCTCCCCGAACACTGTTTTCCTTGTGCGTGCATCTCCTCCGTAACCGTAAAAGAAAGCGACAAATTTATTTTACCAAATTGCTCTTTATATCCTCAGGATATTTTGTCCAATTTTGACCGAAGCGATACGTAAACTCCATATGAGAGTTATTTCCCCTTCTGTATTTGACATAAGGGATATATAAATGTATAGCATGAATGGTAAGTGATAGAGACCTAAGGTATATTGATTTGAGTTCCTTGGTTCATTTAAATGAAATTGAGACCAAGGTCAAAGGTCAAGGTCATATTCTAAATTTGGACTTTTCCTTGTTATTTGATCTCCTCTGTCACTTTTAAAATTACAAATTAAAGAACTAGTGCAAAATGTTTGCTTAATTGTGATTAAGACATGATACATTTGGTCTGAAACAATCCAATGATATCTTATAGGAGTTATTGTCCCTGAAATGATTCAATTTAAGGTTAATTGATTATTACTCCAACTTGGTACATGATAAAGCCATAGGGTCTTTTGCAAACTGTTGGTTGACATATGACCTTGAAAAAAGTCAACCGGAAGTGACCTTGGGTGAACCGGAAGTAGTATTTTTTGCACTTATTTCATGGAAAAGTACCTAGAAACCATATATTTTTTGAATGATCATAGGTTAACCTATCATTTGAGACCGGAAGTGACATTTTATAAAACCGGAAGTAGCATATTATCTTCCTTATTACTAGCATAAGTATATACAAACTATATATTTTTGGAATCAGTGTGAATAAAGCTATCATATTAGACCGGAAGTGACATTTTCTAAACCGGAAGTAGCATATTATCTTCCTTATTACAGGCATAAGTATATACAAACTATATATTTTTGGAATCAGTGTGAATAAAGCTATCATATTAGACTGGAAGTGACATTTTCTAAACCGGAAGTTGGCAATTATCTCCCTTATTTCAGGCAAAAGTATATAGAAACCATTTATTTATTGAATCAGTATGAAGAAATCTATACTTTGACGCTATTATACTTTGAGTAAACCAGAAGTAGCTTCCTATCAATTATTTAGAAAATTGATGTGGAAAGACCTTCAATTGTTCTTTGAACAATTGGTTTTTAATTATTTTTTTCTTCCGCCTAATTTTGTTCTCGCGTAAAATTTTTGTTTCGCAAGATGTTGCTTAGATATTTCTTATATAGTATCATACAGTTTATGCGCTTTTTATTTTCACCCATTCTAAGCCAAACAATTTTCTTGGTAGGAGTTATCTCCCTGAACACTGTTTTCCTTGTGACTGCATCTCCTCCGTAACCGTAAAAGAAAGCGACAAATTTATTTTATAAAATTGCTCGTTATATCCTTTGCATGATTTGTCCTATTTTGACCGAAGCGATACGAAGACTCCATATGAGAGTTATTTCCCCTAATGCATTTGAAATAAGTGATATGCATTTGTAACTGGTAAATCATAAGTGATAGAGACCTAGGGTCAGTTGATTTGAGGTCCTTGGTCCTAAAGAATAGAAAACTAGGTCAAGGTCAAAGGTCAAGGTCATGCTGTGATTTTTTACATTAAGTTCATATCGCTTCTTCCTAGAAAGAGTTATAGATATCGACAAAACAATTTAACCAAAAAGTTTGTTGCGACACGGGTTTACTAGAAATTTTTTGTCGAAATGGTACGCATCATTTTATTGCAGGGTCAATGTCCCTGTTATGGTCGAATCAACAAATTACTTATCAAAACTTCAAAATTTGCAGCTATCATGTTGTAAATGTTTCTTATCTCAATTATCAACCACTACACTCCCCCCCCCCCTTTTTTTCAACTGATTTTTTTTTTAAGTTATCCCATTTCTATGAAAAGAAAATTGCTTTTAGTCCCGTACATTATATTGTAAAATGCTAATCCTTCTTATGTACAAATTTCTTTCTGAAAAAGAAATCCATCCCTGCAAAAATCTGCTCCAATTCATGTATTTTCTGAAATTAATCGATGAGACACGTGCGGTCCGCTTGATTGCGAAATTTAAATCAATGTCGTAGAAATCCCTCCCAAGTTTGTAAATATTACTCAAATTCTACAATCAAATTTCTAAACATGCATTAAAATACAAATCTGTGCTCCCGTAAACATATGTACGTAATATGTATGCATGATCCGACATCAATGACCTGTACAAAATAAAAACAATAGTTATTGTGTTTCTCTGGTTAATACACATGTGCTCTGTTCAACGGTCTCCCCTGAAAAGATATCAATATACTAACTCCAGACATATATATTTGAGCGTCACGTGACTTCACAAACACCATCGCGCGCGCGGACCTAAATTTAGAATAAAAAATTCCATATCCAAATAAAGAAAATGGAACTTCCACGACAAAATGTTTCTCAGTTTTCCTACAAGCTCAAATAAAATGCACACACAACAAATAAAAAAAAAAAAAAATGAAGTCAGAGTTCCCGTAGAAAAAAGAGAACATTTATAAAATGAAGATATAAGGATTTTTATTCATAAGGAAATCCTGGCTGTCCGTTTGGCTGTCCATGATGTACAAATACGCAGCCACGTTCGCTCAGAATATTAACGTTAAGTCCGATGCCTCGCATAGAGAAAGTACCTTGCAAACTTTCAATCAATCAATCAATCAATCAATCAATCAACCAACCAACCAACCAGTCAATCAATCTGTTTAATACGGGGCCAAAGATCTCATTTGTTTCTTTTTCGCATGTTCAAGAGACCCTATCCCATGTGTTTAATTACTATATCAGCCAACCAACCAATCAATTAATTAATCAATCAATCATGTTTCGGAGAGGAAAGACCGTTAACAATTTTTTTTAAAACAATTGATTTATATTTTCTTTTTGTAATGCATTAGAATCGGAATAACAGTACTGTAGTTGAAGAGTTGCCACCGTCAATTTTGATTTGACAGTCGCAAATTTCCGTTTTACTGTCTCCGCTATGCGTCGCCAGTAAAACTGCATTTGCGACTGTCAAATCGCCAATTGACGGTGGCAACTCTTCAACTACAGTACTGTTATTCCTTAAGTAACATGGCACACTACCAAGTAAGTCTCAATTCTTGACTGAAAACATACATAAAATAGACACTCCAGCCCTCACTTTTATTGTAAAGTGTCAAGTTGTACATAAAGTCTGCTGCTGCAGGATTTTAATTATCTGCTTCCATGTTCATTATTTGTCAGAAGTTTTGCCATTTTGTTGCTCTGCTGTATTGAATGAAAAATCTAACTTTTATGGAATATATCTATAATTGTTTGCTGATGCATACCTACGCAAGTGAAATTGTCGTTTGTCAACTTGTACCCAGAGTCACAGTAACAAACAGGACCAGTAGGGGTAGCATGGCAACCTTGCCTACAAACTGAATCTTTACATGCACTGGCTTAAAATAGAAATTTGTAGTTACTTGTAGTATAACAGAAAATAATTAATAAAAATATTTCAAAAGTTTATCCTATTTCAGTCACATGCTGTCCAAAGTTAGAAATTGATCATAACAAGTAAAACTGTGAGCTCACTGATGATTCCCCTGCCGTAATATTTCGGTAAACAGGAAGTTGTTGAGTGATGAATCTGAAAACGCATCACATGGTAAAGCTGACTTAGATAAACCCTGAAACCAAATTTCAGAAATCCTTGTCAAGTAGTTCCTGAGAAAAATGTGACGAAAATTTTGAACTCGGCTATCATGTGTAAAATAATACAAGTGTTCGGTAAACAGGAAGTTGTTAAGTGACGAATCTGAAAACACATCACACGGTGTAACTTACTTATATAAACCCTGAAACCAAATTTCAAAAATCCTTGTCAAGTAGTTCCTGAGAAAAATGCGACGAAAATATTCATGGGACGGACGGACTGACTCACGGATGGACTGACGGAAGGACAGACAGAGGTAAAACAGTATACCCCCCCCCCCCTTTTTTAAAGCGGGGGTATAATGAAGCAACAGGTTTGCATGGACATAGAAATGTATCAAGTATCAACATATGAAGTTAGAACTTGTATTATAGTAATATGGTTTTAAAGCAAAAGAGGTAAACAATCAGAGCATTAACAGATACAAATCAATTGTATATATTTTTTAATATAAAGCTTTAAATTAGTAAAACTATGAATAAAACAATTAAACCATTACAAAATAGTCATTTTGTTTTAAACTTTATGAATGGTACAGATAATGCATTAAGTGAAGCAATTAAATAATCAAGATCAACCCCATCTACAGTTTAAGTGAAACCAAAAAAAATTTGAAGTGGCTTGAAAATAATTTCAGTAATGTATTGCTTGTAACCTTGACCTACCAGATGTGCTTCATCAAGGTCATAACTACCACATTTGACCTTTAGTTAAGGACATGACCAATATTTGACTCATTAATATTGATTTCATAAAGTATTAGTAAGATTTATAAACACAGTTCAATGTGTAGCTGACTATTCAATGTATAATAATCCTTCATCGATTCAGATGGTCTTCCATCTTAATGTCCCATTTCAATTTTCAATTAACCTCCCCCTTGATGTCTGACCAACTACCTCACATTCCCCCATCAAACAATTACCAGATGTTTCAATCATGAACTGGTATACACTCCCCTGAATCACAATTAGCATCACCCATTTCCCAAACCTCTGAGTAGAACTACCCACTCTGTGGCCAAACATACTTACCACACAACTTCCCTTCATCTGATCTATCAGAACATGATGATCTAACATCACATACACTGTGTAATGGTATACACTCTCCTGATGCACATCTATAGAAACCACTAACCCACCCAATGGCCAACTACTTACCACACAACTTCCCTTCATCTGATCCTTCAGAACATGATGATCTAACATCACATACACTGTGTAATGGTATACACTCTCCTGAACCACATCTATAGAAACCACTAACCCACTCAGTGGCCAACTACTTACCACACAACTTCCCTTCATCTGATCCTTCAGAACATGATGATCTAACATCACATACACTGTGTAATGGTATACACTCTCCTGATGCACATCTATAGAAACCACTAACCCACTCAATGGCCAACTACTTACCACACAACTTCCCTTCATCTGATCCTTCAGAACATGATGATCTACCATCACATACACTGTGTAATGGTATACACTCTCCTGAACCACATCTATAGAAACTACTAACCCACTCAATGGCCAACTACTTACCACACAACTTCCCTTCATCTGATCCTTCAGAACATGATGATCTACCATCACATACACTGTGTAATGGTATACACTCTCCTGAACCACATCTATAGAAACCACTAACCCACTCAATGGCCAACTACTTACCACACAACTTCCCTTCATCTGATCCTTCAGAACATGATGATCTAACATCACATACACTGTGTAATGGTATACACTCTCCTGAACCACATCTATAGAAACCACTAAACCACTCAATGGCCAACTACTTACCACACAACTTCGCTTCATCTGATCCTTCAGAACATGATGATCTAACATCACATACACTGTGTAATGGTATACACTCTCCTGATGCACATCTATAGAAACCACTAACCCACTCAATGGCCAACTACTTACCACACAACTTCCCTTCATCTGATCCTTCAGAACATGATGATCTAACATCACATACACTGTGTAATGGTATACACTCTCCTGATGCACATCTATAGAAACCACTAAACCACTCAATGGCCAACTACTTACCACACAACTTCCCTTCATCTGATCCTTCAGAACATGATGATCTAACATCACATACACTGTGTAATGGTATACACTCTCCTGATGCACATCTATAGAAACCACTAATTAAAACCACTCAATGGCCAACTACTTACCACACAACTTCCCTTCATCTGATCCATCAGAGCATGATGATCTAACATCACATACACTGTGTAATGGTATACACTCTCCTGATGCACATCTATAGAAACCAACTTGATCACACCTTTCTGTAGACAGAGTAATACAAGGCATCTAAATTAACTTGCAAATAACTAAGTGTGATATACAAATAAGAAAATTACAGATACGATATTTAGGGGATTTGTTGAGGTTAAAATAAGATTTTTATAAAAAAAATCTTTTATAAAAGAGAATTGAAAATACAGCAAAATTACAGTAAAATAAAGCTAGGACTGTGCCTGTCTTTCAGAATTGTAAATAAATCAAAATTACAGCAAATTTAAAGAACCTATTAGAGCATGCTCACATACCCCACGCCCCTACATTGTCACTTGGCAAACAAAATCCCACAAGATTCTAAGTTCAAAGACTCATAACTCCTACAAAAATAACTTGTGGATATGCATATCTACATATTATGTCCTCATTAACTACAAAGTTTCATGAAATTCTGTTGTGTGGTTTCAGAGGAGTTGCGATGACAAACTGTTGTAGCAGTATATTAAAAATTATAAGTTCAAAAGGGTATAACTCCTAGAAAAATAATTGAATCATAATTTCCTGTCAATAAGCACATCTATTAAATAGTATGTCCTTGTTATCTACAAAGTTTCATGAAATTCTGTTGTGTGGTTTGAGAGGAGTTGCGATGACAATAACAGGACTGACGGACAGATGGGTCAAAAACATTATACCATACGCAACTTTGTTGCATGGGGGTATAATAAAGCTAGGTTTACAGATACAAGCATTGGAAGTTAAAATTTTAGAAGGATGTGGATTTCTTAGAAATTTTCATATTAAATGTATGTAAAGAAGTGATTGATAAACTGTATAAATGATGTAGTAGCAATAAAAAAATATTCAAAATAAGATGAAATATCTAGCTGTTGATAATCATGAAAAGACTTCTCCACATCATGTTCCAGACAGTTTTAATCCATTGCTTATAAATCAAAGCAAATCCCAGAATCTCAAAAATTTCTGCAGCTGATAAACTAAATTTAAAACACAATGGCAGCTGAGAAATATATATGTGACATCATACTGACCATTAGGTGACCCTCGACTTATGATTCCATGGACACATTCTGTTTCATCAGACTTGTCATAACAATCAGGATGACCATCACACACATACTTCTGACCAATACAAATTCCATCATCACAAACAAAACCTCCACAGATCTTGGCAGCTGAATAATTACATAAGTACATTTATATAAAATTATATGAAAAGTATGAAAAAAAACTCATCAGAAGAGGTAGTTGCTATGCATTGGGGAAATGACAGGGTAGAGTTAATTTTCTCTTAGCTTATGTAAGAATAAAAATAAGAAGATATGAATTGATTGCCAATGACAACTATCCACAAGAGACCAAATGACACAGATATTAACAACTATAGGTCACCGTACAGCCTTCAACAATGAGCAAAGCCCATACCTCTTTGTCAGCTGTAAAAGGCCCCGAAATGACAAATGTAAAACAATTCAAACTAGAAAACTAACGGACTAATTTATGTACAATATAATGAACGAAAAACAAATATGTTACACAGCAACAAACGACTACCACTGAATTACAGGCTCAAGACTTCGGGACAGGCACATACAGAATTTGGCGGGGTTAAACCAGTTTGAAGGCGCCAACCCTCCCCTGGGACAGTGGTGTAACAGTACAACATAAGAACAAACTATAAAAGTCAGTTGAAAAAGGCTTAACTCATCAGATCAATACAAATAGAAATATATCTAACAAAAACACAGAGTGGACGTGGCTGGGTACTTATACATCCCCACAACAAAAAGACACTAAGTACAGATCTGAGAGTACTCACGGCTAGTTCAAAGCCAATAACAACTAATAAAAAAAATCATGCATCTAAGACAACCCTTTTTTAATGACAAAGTTTAAAACAAACTCTTTAAAATCACAATTATGAAAGCGAATTTTGTAAAGATCAGTAAAATTTTAAAAAAAATCTTGCAACTAAAAATGGTAATAATTTAATTATGCTAAAATTATCACATCTTACTGTGCTTAATCAGAAGGCTTTGTCCTTTTACAATACCAATTGCTAAAAATTGTTAATACCTAATTGCAGTGTGAAGCACCTCATTGCTTCAGTGAAAGGTTGTTAGTATGAAGTAACAATAAATAAATATCTACAATTTGTTCTACAATACACACCTTGAGTAGGCACTTTCTCAGTTGTCATGTTAACATTCTTGCCACAATTACCTTTGTTACAACTGATTTCTGCAAAACAAACTTTCATTATAACAGTATTCAGTATGAAAACAGTTTCATAAATTATTGGTTACTCAATGTCTAGTGGAAAAAATCTGATGCCTCGTGGAGATAGATTACCACGCTCTCTGCATGTTAAAAACCCTTGGAACAACTCTTTGAGGGGTCTATAGTGGCCTGTTGCAAGGCTTTAACGCTGTCCCCATGCACAATACGCTCTTTTTCTAGTGGCATTCCAAATGTATCATCCAGGATGCTCACTATTGCAGGACCTAACAATATTTCATGGTAGTACAATAAAGCCTTTCAGGAGAGTTGTGTGTTTAAAAGCTGCTGCTGAGCTAATTGAAATGCCTTATGCTTCAAATGGCATTATTCTAAAGAAACTAAACATCAGATAAAAAATAGATTAATGAGAATCGGAAATTGCATCTGACAGTTCTTTTATCTGATCAGAAAGAAATTTAATTAAAAAAAAAATTCAATTGTTGTCAGGCTAAGCATACCCCCACTGGTAATTAAAAGAAATTGAAAAACAGGAAGTGGGTGATAGACAGATCTCAAGGTTGCACTTCCGTAAATATAGACAATGCAATTTCCCATAGGAACTCCCTATGCAGCTAAAGCTGTGCCACTTTTACAATGAAGTTTCGTAAAAAATTATATCCTAGAACGGAAAGTTGATATGCACTACTTTTATATTCAAAGGTCAAAATATAGGGCTGTGCGCAAGGGTCCGGAAACGGTCATATTTGCCAGTCATGTCCTAAGATGAAACTATTTGTCCTAAACAAGTAATTGGGATTTAGGACAAATTTTATTTTTTTACAGAAGTAATTTCGATCATTTCATTGACTCAATGTTGAAATCGGATTTCTTAATCGCCATTTTGCACTTGTGATCACTTGTTTTTGTTTATAATCCCTTTCCTGTAATAAAACTGCCACTACAGTAGTTTGATAATCCTGAGGGCCCTCCTAATATCTATATCAATGCCTCCGGGAAACATTGGCTAATGATTTTTACCTGTGGTTTTAATTCACACCTGACAGTGATCACAAAGCTCAGAATAATATCTTTAAAACATTTAAGTTCCCTGACAAGTGTATTCATTACTTATTTACTTTTCATCAAAGACAGTCATCAATTCTGATTTAAAAATTAAATCTAAATTTACGTAGAACTAGAGGCTCTCAAGAGCCTGTGTCGCTCACCTGTATTTACTGATGCTTTGGAAATCATGTAAAATAAGGTTAAAACCATAATTAATAGTATTAGATATTAGATATTATAATGATATCTAAGATAATAACAAAAAACTGCAAAATTTTTGTAAAATTACTAACTCAGGGGCAGCAACCCACCAGCGGGTTGTCGGATTCGTCTGAAAATTTCAGGTCAGATAAATCTAAATCTGATGAACATTTTTGCCACCTGTCAGATTTGCTCTAAATGCTTTAGTTTCAGAGATATAAACCAAAAACTGCATTTTACCCCTATGTTCTATTTTTAACCAAGTTTGCCTTGATGGTTGGAAGGCGGGGTCATCGGACAAATTTTTTAAACTAGATACCCTAATTATGATTATGGCCAAGTATGGTTAAATTTGTCTCAGTAGTTTCAGAGAAGAAGATTTTTGTAAAAGATTACAAAAATTTACAAAAAATTGTTAAAAATTGACTATTAAGGGCAATAACTCCTAAAGGGGTCGACTGACAATTTTGGTCATGACAACTTATTTGTAGATCTTACTTTGCTGAACATTATTGCTGTTTACAGTTTATCTCTATCTATAATAATATTCAAGATAATAACCAAAAACTGCAAAATTTCCTTAAAATTACCAATTCAGGGGCAGCAACCCAACAACAGGTTGTCAGATTTGTCTGAAAATTTCAGGGCAGATAGATCTTGACCTGATAATCAGTTTTCACTTGTCAGATTTACTCTAAATGCTTTGGTTTCAGAGATATAACCCAAAATCTACATTTTACCCCTATCTTCTATTTTTAGCCATGGAGGCCATCTTGGTTGGTTGGCGGGGTCATCGGACACATTTTTTAAACTAGATACCCTAATGATGATTGTGGCTAAGTTTGGTTAAATTTAGCCTTGTGGTTTCAGAGGAGACGATTTTTGTAAAAAGCTAACGACGACGGATGACGGACGCCAAGTGATGAGAAAAGCTCACTTGGCCCTTTGGGCCAGGTGAGCTAAAAAAGTATTTTTTCATGAGTAACACATGTGCTTTATTTACCATGTAATACGCATGCGTGAAATTGTCTTCAGCAGATTTAATATTTAATCGTAAAATGCAAATTGATTTCATGCTAAATTAAACGAGTGCAACTATTATCTGTTATATTCAAACACTTTTAAAGGTAATAAAATAAAAAAACCATAAAAAGCCGGTGACTTCCTGTCAATTTGATAAACAAAACAAAACCCGGAAATGAATCCGGAATTATTCGTACTTTAAAATATCGCAAACTTCCGGTTTTAACTTTTGTCAAATCAAAGAAACGTAAGCAATGTCTGAGAAATTAACCATTTTGAGTCATTAAAATCATTTCAATTTTAGACTGTTGCCTTCACTAAACTGTCCTTCATGGTAATGGTAAGACATTTACTTAGTAAATGCGATGAAACAGCAATACAAGTTCGTCATGTTCGTTGATGCTATGAATATAGTCAAGTTGATATCGACAATTTGAAAAGGGGCACCAACTTTTCAAACATCTCAAAATGACCGAAATTGTCTGGAAAAATTTCTGGATCCTTGGCTGTGCGGCATTTTTTTCAACATTTATATGCCCCGAACTTCTAAGAGTTTAAACTTATACTAAAATCATGTACTATCCCTACCTCCACTTTGGGTGTCCCTCAGAATTCAATTATCGCCGCTACCATCTGTTTTTAAACTAGTAATATTCCCAAGTTATGTCTCTATGAGATGAAACACAGAGATCATATCTGGGATCCAGTACGTAAACAAAATTAAATATCTATGAATATTATATATCTCCCCAAAAGAGGCGTGGCTTGTGAAACAGCTGTATTTACAAAGTGCAACCTCAAAGGGGCAATACACATTAACATAACAACTAATCACATTGAGCAGCTGACCAAATATGAAGTCACTCTGTTGAGTAGTTTCTGAGAAAAATGTGACGAAAATTTCAAGTTCATTCAATATATTAAACAAGAGTGCACACTCTGGTATGTCTCTCCTGCTTAACTGACCATTTGATTTTATGTAGAAATTCTTAAAGATAAAGGTTTTACAACAAGTACCACATAAACTTAACATTTTTGTCGAGCCTGCAAAATTTATTTCTCGAAAGCGAGACACAGCGATACTAGATTCCGGCGTCAGTGGCGTGTCAACATTTAGGTTCAGTCTGTGGTTAAAGTTTTTTTTTTACATCAATAACTTTGTCAAACCTACATATATTTATGTGCTCTACGCGTAGTTATTTTTAGTCGCGTAGTACCTAGGGTAAGAACCGGTTTGGATTTCGCGGGTAGTATATAAGAAAAGGATCACGTTTTTTCAGTTATCGAGGTTAGGCGGTGACCACGTTGATTACTACTACAGTGTAGACATGTCCGACAACGAAAAGAATCCTAATGAGGATATGGATGAAGATACGGTTGAAGATACGGTGGGAGAAGATGTGTCTAATGCTGATCTTTTGTCACTAATGAAGACCTACATGAACAACAAAATCGCCGGGCTAGAGAAGAATCTAAACGATTCGACACATAGTTTAGCGAAAAAGGTAAAGAAGTCAGAAAACAACTTTAAATTCAAAGGTAACAAGGTCCAGTTTGACCTTAACGTAGATGTGCTAGACAATTTAGATTCCGCTATATCTTGTATTGAGAAGAAACGTCCGAATAAAGCCATTTCGTACTTAGAAGATTCCAAAGAGCTACTGAACAAATGGAATAAGCATATAAGGATCGCGGATAAGTCTGAAGGGGGTTGGCAGACGGTCAGTGAATACTTATCTGACGAGCTAGCGAGTGATTCGGAAGATGAGAAACGCATTAGGGCCGCGGATAGCAGGGCAGTCAAGAAAATTAAGGCAGCTAAGACGGATAAACAACAGCATGGTAGAAAAAGACCCGCAGAAGCGGCTGGTTCGTCGTATCAACAGGCGCACAGTGGTGGACATTCTGGCGGTAATGGTTTGCAGCCCTTTCGTGCAGGGGCATCTGCCGGCGGAGCTCAAGGCCAGCAGAGCCCAGCAAAACCTTCCGACGTCTGTTATAAGTGTGGATTCTACGGGCATTGGGCGAGAGAATGTCGCAGACAAAGCAAGAACAGAGTACACAGAGCACCTCCTTCTTAAAGAAAACAATCAAGAAATTTTTAAGGTATATGAACAATTTAATATTGACACTTACTTTGAATATGAAAAAGATGTTTCTGATATAACTGTAAAGGGCAGATTAAGTGCTTCTTTAAATTTTTGGGTTAAGATTTGTACAACAGATTTTGTTTATAATATAATCAAGGAAGGTTATAAAATTCCTTTTTTACAAGAACCTACTTCTGTATTTTTGAAAAATAATATATCTGCTTTAAAAAATAGAATTTTTGTACATGAAGCTATTTTAGATTTGCTCAAAGGCGGTTTAGTTAAAGAGGTATCGAACAGACCGCACGTTGTGAACCCGCTGACCGTAGCAATCAGCGCAAAAGGTAAACATAGACTTGTACTAGATTTAAGACATGTAAACAAAATGGTGTTAGTAAACAAAGTTAAATTCGAAGATGTGAAAGTTGCTAAACAATACATTACAAACAATTCCGTTGGATTCCTTTTTGATTTAAAAGCAGGGTATCATCATATTGATATATTTGCTCCACATCAAAAGTATTTAGGTTTTTCGTGGAAGTTTGAGGGGATTGAAAAATATTACGTATTTACAGTTTTACCTTTTGGATTGAAATCGAGTGGTTATGTATTTACAAAGGTATTACGACCATTAGTCGCGCA